TCAAAATACCCAAAATACACGAACGCCGTTAAAACCCGGGTTGGAACAATCCGTTAAGTTACTTTTTTATTGGACAGTGGAACTTTGATCCATTTCAGATGGATCAACCTAAATTTCGCCTTACCTCAACATAACAATCATAAAACACACTCGAGAAAACTAATTTTGGTACTTACATAGCAGCACGCTTGAGAAGCAGAGTAATTAAACTAGTTAATGACTCTAGCATAAATATAGTCGAATATAACTCAAGAAGTCTTCTAACGACGAGTTCCAATCAAGGGAAATAAGTTTTGATTCAAGAAAGTAGTTTTGGATCTGGACCATTGGGAGACTTCACTTGTCCGCCTTTCCGTTGAAAGTTCACACTGGTCCAGTTGATTCTAGCTCTGCTCTCGTATTTGTTTGGTATCCTATATCAGATAGGACAGCTCTACTCTAGTTTTCTATGATGGAAATTGCGAATAGCAATTTCCCACTGTATATATATTTGACAACCTTCCCGCAATTGTTCTGCTTTTTTATTTGATGTTTTCAGTTGTCGCGAGAAAACTGAGCATGACAGGCTCCATTCGAATTTTTGAAAAATAAAACTTCACTCCAAAATCACGTATTTTCGTGTTCCTCAAGGTCAAACTTCCAGATATGACCGACTGGCACAGTGAGAAATTCAGTTTTCTTTTTTTTTGAAATCACGCATTGTCCCGCATCAGTATAATAAATTCAAATATATCAAAGACGTGCATCTAGCTTTAGCTGGGCCCTAAGTGTCCTTCCTCGAATTCTACAAAAAATTTGGTTCACCTAGTTATGAAGAAGAAGAAGAAGAAAGAACACTTGAATTACTATACAATAAAAAGCCGAGGCATCAGTGTAGCAAAGTGTAAATAATAAAATTGGTTATAAATTCATTGGTTACATCAAACAAAAACAAAACATCAGAAAACAAGCAATAAACAAAACAAAAAAAAACAAAATCGGTTACAGTTCGGAAATTGGTTGATTAAAGTATATGAAGTTTCGGATACTATAGAAAATTAAAGATTTAAGAATTAGGAACAAGCTGGTAATAAAACTTTACAAACAATTTTACAGATAGTCCAATTATACAACGTATATACAGAGTATATACAGTTTCTCTTTCAAGCAATGTGTGAAAAATTAAACTGAATTAAAAAATATAGAACTAGCAAAAACGGTAATCACGCCACGTATTTGTATTAGTACATATAGGATTGTTTCTCAATTCACTCACGTAAAATTCTTTCAATTTTTTCTTGAATTCTGTTTTCGATTTTTCTAAATTGCGCAAAATTATGGGCAGTGAATTCCATTTTTTAGAAGTCAAATGAAAAAATGATTTTTGTAGAGAAGCAGTCGAACAATGTTTGTCAAAAATAATTTGTTTCGTTCTTTCGTTGAGCCTATAATTGGCAGTCGGTAGTCTCAGTGTATTTTCAAAAGCCTTCTTTTTGTTTGTAAGATATTGGTATAAGTATGTTATACACTTTAACTCAATTCTTTTCTCGATTCCAATGAACGATTTGCTAATGCGAAGAAGGGAAGAAGATTTAAAATTCGATCTGAAATATGTTCTTTTTAGCGCCCAGTTCAACTGTTTCTCCAGAGATAGCATCAAAGTAGCATTAATTTGTTGTAAAAAAATTGCTGAATAATCTAAATGTGATAAAACAAGACAATGAAGCAAGGCAACTAATGATAATGTCGGCAGTTGTTGTCCAATTGTATCAATAGTTTTAATCCCTTGGGCCATTTTTTGGGGAATTGTTTTGATTTGAGCATGAAAAGATAAACTTGAATCAAGAATTATGCCTAAATATTTGCATTCTGATTTTTTGGCTACATAATGCCCACTAATTACTAGTTTATCAGTATCCACATTTTTGCTATCATTTTTTTGACAAAATGTAATAAATTCCGATTTAGATGCATTCAGATTCAATTGGTTCTCTGCAAAAAATTCCGTTAGATTATTGAGTGATTTTTGCAATCGATTCAAAGCATCCTCAGAAATTATAGAAGAGGAAAAAACCATACAGTCGTCAGCATATTGAACTAAAGTACAACCCTCATATAATCGCTCTTGTATGTCATTAACATAAATATTGAACAACAACGGACCAAGTACCGTTCCTTGTGGGACACCTCGTTTTATTTCAATCCAGTCTGAAAAAATTCCATTGACGTTTACTCTTTGAATACGTTTGTTTAGGAAGCTAGCAATTAAAGCATTTGCTCCATTTGAAAAACCGAGAGAAAGCATTTTTTCAATTAAAACTTCATGCGAAATAGAATCAAAAGCCTTGGACAGATCTAATAAAGCTGCATGTACGATTTTTTTTGAATCTATTTGATTTCGAATACTTTCTGTCACATAAACAAGAGCATCTTGTGTTGAAATGTTTTTGCGAAATCCGAATTGAAATGGTGTCATTATTTGAAATTTGTCAAGATGTTCTGTTATTTGGGCATGTAAAATTTTTTCAAAAATTTTAGAAAAAGCACAAGTTATTGATATTGGCCGATAATTTTTTGCATCCATTGGGTCATCTTTTTTGAACAAAGGGGTTACGTTTGCTTTTTTCAGTTCGATCGGGAAAATGTTCTCATCTAAGCAAGTATTTATGACAAAAGTTAAATGTGGAACTATAACTGATTGACCGTCAATGATTGCCCAAGCAGGTACGGTACAAGGTCCGAGAGGTTTTCCAACATTGATTTTTCGAACTATATCAAAGCATTGCTTCACTGTAATGAGTTGAAAATGAAAAGATGCAGATTCAGAGGCAGATTTGTTGTAATTCGGAGGCTTTTTAGCGCCGAAAAATTCGCCTAAGTTTGAAAAAATATAATTTAAATGATTGGCAATTTTTTTGTCTTGGGTTATCATTTCACTGAAGGAATTTCGTAGAACTGTAATTCGATGGTTGCCAGAACATGTACCTCTAACTTGGTTAATATATTTCCATTTTTGTTGGATAGTGCTGAGAAGTGAAAAACAATTTTTTGAATGATCGAATTGTTTACTTCTAATCAATTTGCTCATTTGATTACGTAAAAACTGGTACTTTGACCAATTATCGCTTGTGCTTTGACTGCGATATGATCTGAGTGAATTCTGTTTCTTAGTCAACAATTGCTGACATTCTGAATCGAACCATTCCGTTTTCAACACGTTTTTTGGTTTAAAATTACGAACAAACTTTTTTTCGATAGGAGCATGTTGCTGTAGAGCACAAGAAATTAAATAAATCATCGTCGAGAACATGTTTTGTGCGTCTGTACATTGATATAAGAGATACCAAGGAAGAGCGGAGAGTGAATTGCAAAATTCATTTTTCTGATAATTTTTCTTATTGAAAGTTGTAATTATCCTCGGTAAAATTTTGCCGCATTTTATATCCGTCAAAATAAATGAAGCAAAATGGTCGGTTTTATAAGGTGTATCAAAACAAAACTCAATGCCGTTTGTTTCATAGTCACTGATTATGTAGTCGATATGAGTTTTTGTTGAGGAACTAATTCTGGTCTCATCGTTTGGACAAAAAACCTTCAATCCATATGGGATAATTATAGAATCTAAATTTTCTTTTTCTTTGCTATCCAGATAATTTATGTTATAATCACCCAAAAGCGTAATTTTATTAGAAACTGAAAAAGCATTATCTATGTTAAGCGTTAATTGTTCCAAAAAATCAATAAAGTTTGATCTGCTTGGGTTATAACACAAATTAACTAACATTTTTTCTTTACTCGAAATGTTAAATGTAGATTTGCACTCAACCCACACTGACTCATATTTTTCTTTATCAAATAAATTTAGATCAGGCCTCAATTTCGGAGCCAATTTGACTGGTATATATAACAAAACGCCACCGCCTTTCTTTTTTACCGCTGATTGCCTATCATATCTGAACATCGCATGCGTTCTAGGTTGGAAATTCCATAAATTGTCACTATCTTCTTTTTTAAGCCACGTTTCGGAAATTCCTATAATTGTGTTTTCGCCCATATCATCAAGAAATTTTTTCAATTGCATCCGTTTTCTAATAATACTTTGAAAATTCAAATGAACAAATTTAAGATTTGCACAATTTTTTGAGCAGATACCGTAGACTGTTTCAATGGTTTCGATAGGACCAGGGTTTTTTTCAACATCCCCACTTTGGGTCAGTAACAACGCGAAAAGGAAAAGATGAGTCAGTGTGGTAGCTCTCCGCTCATTTATCCCACATTTCGTTGATAATATCTTTTGCTGGCAGCTTAGATAGCCCCAGTAAACAATAGTTTTTTCTTTAGTTTCCATCTGAGCCTTGGAAATTAGAAAAATTGCACAAAACAACCAGAATTTAATATTCAGCATAATAGGTTAAATAAATTAGGTTAAATAAATATAATAGGTTTTTCTTATGTTTATTCTCAACATTTTTCAATTTTTTCTACTTTCTTTTTTAAATAATTCTGTTGCATCGCAGGTGGTGCGAAGCTCCGCTTCGCCTGCTAATTGATAAAACTACTTTTTTTTTTGTTTTGCTAGATTTTTTTGTAAAGCCAAGTGATCAAAAGCGCTGCCTAGTAGAAGTATCTGATCGAACCGTAGCCTCATATGAGGTCAATCTTTTTGAGTTTCTTTCAACTCCGTTTTATTCTGCGCAGGTGTTAGTTTTCTCAATCAGGTTGGCTTTGTTTACTTTGTTTACCCATCCATCAGACTCTCTTTACTTTTATTCACGGTATACTTTACTTCTCCCTAATTAATAAAATTTAAATGTTTTTTTTTTTTTGACAATGTGAAACGATGGAGGACTTGTAGTAACTTCGGTTACCATGATAGTTTCTGTCTTTCTGATTTATAAAAGAGCAAATTCAAGACCGGTACCTTGCAACTAAAAGCGCCGCATTGCGAGTTATTTTGCCGCCTCTTTTGAACTCAATATATTTGATAAGTTTTTCTTATGTTTATTAGTTCATTCAGATATTGATGACATGAATGTTTAATGGAGCTTCCGCTAACAATGATTGACTGCGAAAGATATCAATGTGTTCCGCTCAACGTTTCTTCTATAGGAGCAGCTCATCCAACTGCTAATTTAGTGAGTTCAAAAAGGCCTAATCTCTTGTTTTATCGAAAGACGTCAGGTCCCATCGAATTCGTGTTCTCTCAAAATGGACTGATTGTCTGGGGACAAACGAGTTCATGTTCAAATATCAACAATCCGTCTGACTACAAAACTGTGTCGCTCCCAGAAAGCCTTGATTTTGGACTATGGTGCACATTCAATCCAGCTGATTGTTGCGAGGAAAATGCAGACACCTGGGACGCATTCGTCATGATCAAGTCGTCTCTTCTCACTGCAATGACTTTTAAAGGTTTCCTACTTTCAGCAAAATAGTGGTTAATATTTGTATCATTAAGGTAGTTTTAAACTTACAACTTCCGAGTCTGATTATATGAGCCGACCAAACATCAATTTTCAAGATTCTGTTGAAATTTAGTTATTTTTTTTTCTGATACGATGCGTTGGTTTAGATCAAACATTGTTTTTGGATTTTGAGTCCAGCTTATAAACGGGATTTTCGAAATCACCTAATTACTTGGAAATTGTAACAGTAAGATATTTCAGCTTTTGTTATGCCTAATCTATTATATATTTAAATGCGGGATTCACTATCTCGCCACGTTTAAGCTTTTTCAACGTATTATTTTTCGAAAGTTTTTTGTCACGCTTAAGCTATATCGTATATTGCAGATTTTGTTTTCGGTTTTCCAGTTTGAATTCAGTGTTTATTTCACCAGTTTAAAGTTAGCAACCAAATATTGGGTCTGCTGTTAGGATTCTTCCAGGGGTTGCGAATTCATGAATACTCCAACGGCTTTTATGCCTCCAATTTTGAATACCCAAATTTTTTAGTTTACGAAATACGACAATTTTGTGTTTTTCCAAAAAAAATTTCAGAGAACTTGGCTGGAAAGTTAATTCTCAAACTTCGTCATTAGCAACCCTGTAGTTAGGGACTGTCAGAGTATTCTCAGGGGTTGCGAATCTTGCCTTCAATTATGACTACTCAAATCTTAAAAGTTTTCGATATATGACTTTTTTCATGTTTTTTTGCAATTTTTTTTGAGAAAACATTTGAAACTCCCAGCGCTTTCGTTGGGTACTGTGAAAGTTACCCACTCTTTCAGGAGTTGCAAATCGTGCGTCCAAATGCGACTGTTCAATTGCTTTTAGTTTCCGAGTTGTGACGTTTTTTATGTCATAATAAAATGCTTCAAAGAGTTTAGATATAAAAAACTTCACTAAGTTTTATGGTTTTTCAAATTTTGTTTACAATAGAATACAAATTTACAAATTTGAAATTACCATCTCTGTAATTGGGTGCTAACAGGGTAAACTCAAAGAATGCAAAGGATGCAGATCCTATTTCCAATATATGCTGTTTTCATGAGTTTTTTCTCGAAAATTCATAGCATCGGAGGTGCGTTAAACACTAGCCATTTTAAAAATTAATTAATGAAAAGAAAGAATTTTCAGTTCTTTCTTTCGTATTTTTTGTGATAATTTCAAACATTATTGAGGCTCGTTTTTTTTTACACTTGCGATCAGCAAGCTTGTTGCAACTGGGTACTAGACTGTTCTTCCCCGTAAACAGCTTTGTTCACAAGGTTTCGCACTTGAAGCGAAGCGAGTGTATTAGTACGAACCTTTTTTTTCAACCTAAGTAGCAAATATTTGTGCCAATTTTGGGGAGCCTTTGCAGTTTTTTCATACTCGATACCTTCAGTTTGTTATATTCCAAATTTTTTTTCGCAAAATTGAGTCTGTTTGTATTTGGTGCCACTTTTGCTGACTGGCATTGGCAGTTCATTAGCAAACGTAGCTGCTTTATTCGTGACTGATGTTTGTCGGTTGTTAAGCTTGCGTGGCTCAGTGGGTAATTCGCGAGACTCAAAATCTTTTGATTGCAGTAGGTGCAGATTCGAATCCTATTTAAACAGAGTTTTTGCTAATTCGAGGCTAATTTTCTTTTTTTATTTCATTTGATAGAGCTGCTTTTTGTCGTGTTCTCGCAAGTGTTTGCGAATCGCAGCTTCGCCTCTGTGTCAAATTTTATCAAATATCCAATGCATCTGGCGTAGAAGTAACACATATACTTGAGTCATCAAATACCTTTGGTTCGATTTCATCCTTGACCTGTTTTGCAAACGAATTAATATGGTCTAATTTTTTCTCCGAAATTTTCAACCAAAATTTTACCCCAAAATTGGGTCATTTCGGCTTTTTTCAATTATTCAAGAATTACGCTGAAACTATTTTGTTAATTGATGAGAAATATATATCACAAGAAACCTATTACACAGCCCAACAAAGTTCGAAGGGTTAAATCTTCAACAATTTGACTAAGTTGTTTAAAATTCGTTTTAAGCAAAGATTTTGGATTTTATGTCCTAATAATCACCTTTCTTGACCATCAAGCAAATATATTTTCTCTTATACGCGTTTTTGGAGATTTAACCCTTCTCAAACTTTGTTGGGCCGTGTAAGAAGCTTCTTGTGATATATGTTTCTCATCAATTAACAAAATAGTTTCAGCGTAATTCTTGATTGATTGCAAAAAGCCATAATGACCTATTTTTGGGGTAAAATTTTGGTAGAGAATTTCGGAAAAAAGTTTGCACCATACTAATTCTGATGAAATGCTAAGCAATTTTTGCTCTCTTCGCTTTTTGTCTAATCTTAACGCAATTTGAGAAAAATGTGTTTCAAAGTTCAAGTTTTGTTCATTTTGTCCGGATAATTTAAATCAGCGTTGTACATTTATTTAATTTTTTTTTTAATTTTTTTTTCCTAGAGTTCACTCAATTGTTTTCCACTGCTGGCTTCAAAATGCCTTGATGAAATGAAAGCAAATTACGCTTTCGAATATCAAAAGTGCAAATGGCGCGAACAACGTGTTTGAAGAAAAAGGGAATTTGATTTTATGAGCTCAGCAGATTAAAAGGGTTAACTTTTAGTCCAGTCTGTTCTAATTGGTTAGATTTTTCCTCATAAAAGTGTCAATGACTAAAACATCTTGATTATGAAACGACAAAATGTCATGGACAATTTTCCATCCGTATGTTGGCTGTGTTTGTTTTGTTGAGTTTTGAGGCTCCTTTGTAAATGAAATTTGCCAAGCGAAGCTCTAGACACACTCTTTCTAAAGTTTTTTTTTTCTAAATTGCGTTTCCAGGAATTGCAAAGAGGAAAATATTTTTCAGGCGATTACTTCCAATCCAAGTTGACAGTTGAGCCGAAATCTGTTTGGGCAACCAAGAACTTCGGGTTGATCGTTGAAAGCAAAGATGTTGCGTCCAGCTCGATTCCTTTGCCTAGCTTGTATAATCTGGGCCACCCATGCGAAGAACTGGTTCCAATAATTTGCTGTACCGCAGATGAAAGAACGAACATTGTAACGATTTCCGAGTTCAGTAGTTCTCAGAAGAGTTGCATTGTTGCTTCAATTGAAAGTCTAGAAATGTTAATCACGCATGACTCAAAAAGAGGTCATAGATTTTGGAAAATTCGAAAAGCGACCGAAGGCGAAAAGGAGGATTTTTATCATCAATGTGAGCTTAAATTGTGTGAAACGCATTTGACGAGAATGAAAGAGCCGGCTAAAACACCAGGGTTCCATTTGGATAAAACTGCAAGCGTCTTTTCCCCAATTTTGAAGCCCAATTTCATGAGTCATCAGAAGTTTCGCTCTCCGTTTTCAGAGAAACAAAGCCCTTTGTTCAGAAAAAGTTATAGGTTAACGTCTCAACCTCTTTGTCAAAGCTCTCCTTACATCAATTCTACAATTTCGGAAGCACAATCGTCTACTCATTTAAGCAGAAACTCCCATGTTTTGCCCTGGTTTGAAATGCCGTTGACTCCTAATTTATGCTTGGAACTAATCGCTAATGAGGACTCCTTGACATCGAAACATACGTCGAAATTCGTTGCTTCCAAAGCTTTTACAACATCTGATTTTCTGGGAAACAAGTTTATTTGTCTGTTTATAGGGCAAATTGAAAGTCTAAGCTTGTTCAAGGTATCTGAAACAAAAACAGCCAAAGCTACACATTTTGAAATGATAAAAACGTCAACTATATCATGTTTTGATGCAATAGATATCGAAGACCTTCCATATATGGCAGTTTTGGAGAAGGAATCAGCAGTCGCTCTGTACTCTGGGCCACAAAAAGTGTGTAAAGTTAGATGTCCTGATTTGTTTAGTTCTACTTTGAACATGGAAAGTTCAGTCAATAACTGGAATTCTATTTATAATTTCCACGCTTCTGTCGGTAGAACAGTAGTCGGGTACACGTTTGGAGTTACCAACGTTGTTTACCTAACTTTGCCCAAACTGTTTGAAAACCCGGCGGTCGAGTTGTTTTTACAGAGCTTCAAACGTTGCTTTTCGAACGCTGATTTCACACAGTTTGCGGTCAATTGGTTTGTTTGTAGAAATGCTATTGGGAAAACTGTCGATTCCCAATGTGAGTTTAAATTGTTTGTCTCGTTTCTGGAAAATGAGTTTGGATTTGTTGAAATTGAAAGTGCGCGTAGGTCGAGGTCAATGGACAGTTGTTCAGATTTGAGTTCAAAAAAGGTCAAAAGAAACGACATTGGAACAGAAGACGACTTTAAGGAAATGATGCAAACTGGGTTTGTGGCTGAATTGGCCGATTTGTGTCTTTTTACGAAAAGTAATGAAAACAATCACGAAAGTTTACCCGAAACGTCACCGGGTAAACCTAAAGCGCAGGCAGCTACAAAACTGAAATTGAACAAAAATTTTGAATTAGTTTTCAAAATTGCGCATGTAATTTATGAAGATTTAAAACTAGATTTGACTAAAAGTGTGGAAACTGAAACTTTAGCTATGTTTTTGGCTTCGATAGCCCATAAATTGGGCTTAGAGGAAGTCAAGTTTAGATATTTCTCTGATTTTCCTGTCGAGATTTTCCCTGCAAATCTGCGCGATAATCAGACAAAATTGCCCTTGAAAGCGGAAATATTTATTACCGAATATGGAAATGAATTAGATGACTTGGAGGCTTTTTTTACCGGTTGTCATGGTCTTGTGTCGAGTTTTATTTGTTGGGTTAGAGGCGCACTGAAATGTAAGAATTGGACTGACATTTTATTAGAGTTTGAAGCACTTCGGGCTACTGAAATGGAATGGAATTCTTGTGGTAAAGAAAACGGGACGAAAAAACGGGACGCTTTGGTGGATGCAATTAAAAACAATCCGAGCACCCTAAGCATGTTTCCTGTTATTTGGGGAGTAACTGAAAGAATTATCAAAGTGGCAGTTGTTTACATGTATTATGCCTACTTGAAGACATCGGACAAAGAAGAATTCAATGAAAGAGAGAATAATGATAATGGGAAAATTTCACTTTCGGCAGTTATTTCTAAAATTCTAATTGATCTGATGGGTAATGAAATGCCATTGGAATTGGAAAGAAAATTGAATTTGAGATTTTTTCCATCAAGCACATTAAAAAATCTGTCAGCGGAAAGAGACTCAATTGAAGAGAAGTCAGGATCAGTTGACTTTAATTTGAAGTCGGCCTCTTTCTCTGAACGGATGCTAGTCTTAATGGAAGTAATGGGCATTGATTCAGATTTTGTCTGCACTTTGCCCGCAGGTGTTTCACTTCCTTTTTATGACGTCATTTATCATGGTCATTTGAAACCCTCGCTTAATTGGACCCAAAATGCTATCAACTTGATCAAAAGGCAGGATTTGATATCCCAGAAAGCGACCCTAACTCGAGCGAAAGACATGAGCAAAAAGGGGATTAAAAATACTTCCAGTGAAATGATCACGTCTAAAAGGGGCACCAGTACTTATTACATGAGCAGAGACGCTAAGTTAGGCCCATTTCAGGGTAAAAATTCTGTGCAAGGGACGATTTTGAAAACAAATGGGTTGGAAATGGACATGGAAGTGCTTAATGTCTTATTTCCTGAAGACAGTAGAATTCAATCTGTTTCAAGAATGCTGAATTCATCCCAACCGATTAAAGTGAAAGCAAACTACCAGCAGCAAGATCTGCAGTTGATATTGGCCCATTATGCCAAGCGAACAATGGCTTTGCCCGTGGGCAGAGGCATGTTTGCACTAAGCTCAGTTTCGCCTAATATAACGTCTACAGAACCGATTCCAGAGATGAACTTCTCGTGTAAAGTGATGCCTAAAAATGTGTCGGTACAGATAACGACTAACACGCTAAGTTTCCCTGCTAGAAGTTGGGCTTTTTTCCACAACGGAGCTGCGACTGGGTTGAGAATTGATCAAAGTGTTCAGGATGTGGACTCCGCTTGGGTCATGTATAACAGGTCAGTAAAGTTAAGTTCAGGTCAGACTATTTATCTTCTGAGCGAGAGGACAATATGCAAAGTTCATCTGATCAATGAGAACTGTTGTTTTTGAATTTTTTTGTCTGAATCAGTTTTGAGTGCTTGTTTCATTACAGCTGGTATGTTATACTAAGACTTTTTCCGTCTAAAGTTTTGTTCTCAGGTTTTACACGTGAGAACGTTAAGTGTTTCTGAATACAATTTCTGGTCTTTTAAGAGTTAATATCTCAGTTAGATAGCTTGTTAAGAGTTGATATCTCAGTAAAATAGCTGGTCGGACCTTTTCGCAGTAAGCCTCTAGAATTACAAGTTCATTATGCTCAATTTTTCTGCAAAAAATTTAGTCGGCGTCGTTTCTGAGATGTGGGTTGCTTCACATACTGAATATGAGTCGGATTTAAAGTAGCACGCAATTTTTTGACAATTGTTTAGGGTAGCATATTGTCTGGTAATCATTTTTGGCAATTTTATATCGACCAATTGGTTTTGCCTAACATTCAGTCGGCTTAATCTCCGGCTTATTTTGCATTGTATTCAGATTTTAAAAAAATGTTTTTGTCATGCTTTATGTGAATGGTTCGAGTAGTGCGAGAGCAAGTATCTCCTAATCGAAAACTAGACCAACAACTTTTCTCACGAGTGAGTGTCTACGTAACTAAACAGTCTTTTTTTATCGAACCTTAACAACTTCTACGCTCCTTCCCAACTGGTGTGGGATTTGAGTCCCGGTCGGACCTTGTTTTTTCATTAGAATGTATGAAATAGAAATTTCTTTCCGGGAAAATGTGAATGTTTGGATTTTCAAATCGTTGCGTATTTCTGATTCGAACAATTCTTAATATAATTGACAGTCGTACTGTTATTTTGTCAATTTAACAACTCGGATGATGGTTAATTTTTTCAATTTAAATAATTTTGGTTTGTTTTATTGGCAAAATCAACTTATGTTGTGTCGCTTGAAGGGCAGAAATGGTTTATTTCCTTTCAAAATGCTTTGTAAAAGTTTCAAGTTTTAAAATTTAATCGCTCAAGTTTTTTATCATTGTTTTCATGGCGTTTTTTTTGTCAAGTTTTCTGACAACCAATGTGCCTCATGGATTCTCAAGTTCTTTTTATAAGCCCGAAGAGTTCAAAATTTCAAAATGTTTCTGACTAGTTGATAATTTTTTTCGCTTCTTTTGATTAGTTTCTTTGGAAATGAAAAAAAAAGATTATGGAGATGGGATGTAATTAACAATATCCATATTTTGTACCTATTTCAATGAAGGAAAAAAGGGACGAACAGTTGCACTATATTTATTCTTTGGCTTCATATTTGATTGCTCAAAATGGAAGCCTTCAATTTTAACTGCAAAAATTAGCGTCAAAAAGGTGTCTTGTGTTAACTTGAAAGATATCAAGTAATATCAGCTTCGTTTGTTTTCTGGGGTCTCAATTAAACATTGTGCTGAAGGAAGTTGTTATTGTTAATTTAGAAGCACAAGTTTTTTTTACAATTATTTAAATGAAAGAAACTGCAGACTAACAGAAGAAGTACCTGAAATCTTTTTTGCTCCATATTTTAGCAGTCATAATTACGCTTGCGGTTAGCAAGCGTTGTCAAATCGGAACATAGACTTCTTCAAATCGGAACTTGTTAGCAGGATCAATTTAATCCTTTGTATCTTGGCTCATAATGAATTCAACTTTTATTGCGTCTACAGCACCTAGCCTGGAGGCTAAGAACACACCTGGGACGGCAAAATTTGTTAGTTCGAATCTGACCAGGAATCTCTTTCAAACTGGAAATACTCCTTTCCGAAAAATGTGGACCTATTGTTAGTCTGCTTATGTTTTGTCGGATTAGTGGCCAGATCGTAAAATTGCTTTTTTTATTCGCAATTTTTAATGTTGCTTTAACTGCTTTAATTACTCCTGCAGTTTGTATTTTTACTAGTCTTGACTTCGTATATGCTGCTTTTGTTTTTTTTTGCTTGAGTGGTTTTCATTAAATCGGAAGTGTCATGCTTCGTTCCGGATATAACAAATTGCTGAAATTTTAAAATAGTTTTTATAGTTGAAAGTTTCTCTTGACATCGTTCCGGATCGAACAAATTGCTAAAATTTTTAGAATAGGTTTTATAGTTGAAAGTTTCTCTTGACAGCAATTATAGTTTCGGTTCTACGAGAAATTATTCAAGTTTTGTCGGTTCTGTTGCCGTTGTGTCTGATTTTTCGAATTGTCATTTATCGCCGTCGATGTGTTTTTGGACATGTTTTCCGCTAATAGAACATGATTCCAGACAACATTTTGACTTTTGAAGTTTTATTTTTAAGTTATCAATTTTTTTTACTTACTGGCTGTCTTTCCCTGTCTGCTAGTTATAAATTAAAATTCAATCAAAAATCTAGCGTAGAAGTAAACCATCTGCTTGAAACAGCAAAGGCTTGTAATTTTGTTTCTGTACTTACTGTATTTTTTGTAATTTCTGTAGTTTTTGTAATTTTTCGGACCATCGTCCGTCTGTTTATTTTCGTCGGCTGTTCTCGTAACCCGAATTTTTTTTAAAGTTCAGCTTTCTGCTAAGTCACTGTAACACCCGGGATTCGATTTCATTCAGGACTTGTTTTTTGCGAAGTGGAAATTTTCGGTCTGTCTGTCTGCTTATTTTTGCCGGCTTAGTTCCTGCAAATTTTTTTTTGAAAGTTCAGCTTTTTTCTAGCCTTCCTAAAGCTCCTTGTAAAGTTTTTAATGGTGTTGGTACTTTTTTTCCAGATCTTTTGGACTTTTATGCGGTTTTTAGAAAATTGTATGACCAAAACGATTTTTGGAGGTTTTTCTAATATTTGATTTTTCTTTCCATTTGATTTTAATAACGGTCATTCTTTTTTGTATCGCAAATGGTGCGAAGCTCAGCTCGGCCTCTCTGTAAATAATCATCTGCTGAAAGTCATCTGCGTGCGAGGTTTCATATGAAAACAAGAATCAATCAATTTGGCTCAGATATTGAGCTGGAGCTGCGTGACAAACGATTCCACGCAACCATACATCACAATTGGTTACCTTTTTTGCATTTGCAATTGAATAGCATCTGTAACTGTTTTGTTGTTGGCTAGTGTAACGGTAATTTCGAGCGATAGTGGCCAAGATGCGAGGACGTATTAGACAATTAAAAAGTATCTTGGTATCTGCTTTATTAGTGGCTAGTATTCGTCGTTTCTTATGTTATTATGGCGCAGATGCGACGACGTGAAGCTCTTAATATTACGGTCGAGGGTATGAATCCGGCTCACGTCAAAAGTTTTCTTGTTCTTTTTTAAGCCATTTAAAGTTTTATAGCGCTTGTTTGTGAGGTGCAGCTTCGCCTGTATGAAAATGTCATTTCTCAATTTTCAATAAGAGTTCCCTGGAAACATCCATTTTTGGTTCTTGCTTAGTTCAACTTAATTTTTTGGTTCCTATCCAATGCAATGGAAATTTTATAAATAATTTCCGAAATAATGATTTTATCTGATTGGTCATGAAAAAAATATGTTTTCCTTCTTTTTGTTGTCAACAGTTTATTCGCCCTCTCTAGGAAGTACTTAGCTGTAGAGTGTTTTGACAATAAATAATTGGGTGCCTTCCATTTTACAAACAAAATTCAAATATGTAGCAGTTTTCTGACATTTTATCAATTTTTCTATTCTGCCAGTAGTAAGTGTTTTTTTTTAATTAAGTTTTACAATTCCTTCAAAAAATATGTCTTTGAAATAAACTAAAATAGTGATAGAAGTACTACAAATTGCGATTAAGCTATTTGACATGAATCTGCCATTTAATATATCACCAGAAAAAGATTGAAACAGAGCGTAAAGTTGCAATTATTCGAATTGCATGGATGAGATGAAGTATGTAAAGTTTAGACTCTATGATTTCAGTTGAAATTCAGAGTGCCTAACCAAGCAAATGGAATCTTGCGTTAACGGTTGTAGAATGGCTGATAAAAATTGGTTACGTAGCGGTATTCAGACAACCGCGTATTCAGACTCGTCAGTAAGCAGACAAATACTGTATTAACCAATCAGAATCGAGGCAAGGAAGAAATGAATAATTAATAATTATTTATTTAGTAAGTTTGCTCTCTCGTCTCGATTCTGATTGGATAATATAATATTTGTCTGCTTACTGACGAGTATGATTAATAGGTTGTCTAATTACAGACCGCACTCCTAAAATTTAATGCTTGAAGTAATAAGTTTTTTCTTTTTGCAATTTTCCCTTTCTATCGACAATTTGCGTCGTCATTATCTCGCTTTGATTGATTCTCGAGCTCAATTTCCAGACATGCAGTCATGCTTGCTCAGATTTAGTTCATTTTTTTCATGAATGCGTTGCTGCATTACATACAAGTGTGATTTGATGACCCAGATAAAACGAAAAAGAAGGTTTTTTCAAACTCGGTTTTCTCAAATTTAGTTCAGATTTAAAAAATAAGAGAACAAAAGTTGAATAGAATTTCACCAGATTTACACCAGAATTATTATGGTGTAATTTAATTTGCAAAATTCAGATCAAAAATTTTACCCCGACAATTTAGGCTTTTTTTTAGTTTATCAAGAATAGCGCTATAAGCTCAACCATGTTAATTGATGACAAAGTTATATCAAAAGAAGCCTCTTTCACAGCACAACAAAGTTTAGGAAGGGTAAAATTTTTTTACCCTCTGGGCGAACGTTTTAAATTTGTTTTTAAGCAAAGATTTTGCGTTTTGTATAATAAAATTGACCTTCTTTGACTATCAGTTAAAAATGTAAATTTTTATACAGATTTTTGGAGATTTTACCCTTGTAGAATTTTAATGGGTTGTGTAGGCAGCTTCTTTTGATATATTTTTCTCAGCAAGCAATGCGGTAGTCTCAGCGTAATTTTCGATTAACCAAAAAAAATGACCCATTTTTGGAATAAAAGTTACGTTGCGAATTCGAAAAATTCTGGTGATATTCTAAGCAACTTTTGTGCTCTTCGATTTTTGTGCTCTTTTGTGTAATTTCGACCCAATTTGACAAATACGTGTTTAAAGTTCCCAATGCTGTTCGTTTTGTCCAGTTATTTAATATCAACACTTTATTTCTACTTTTAAAAAGCATCTTAGTCCTAGAATTCATCGAAAAGCATCCTAATATTCATCGAAAATCTTTTTTGGCGTAGGCGTGGTGATGAGTATTTGGACTAGACTAGACAAATGAATGCGACATGAAAGCTATTTTTAACACAGAGGGTATTGAGGCGGCTTATGAAAATTCATTGAAGAAAAATGATATAAAATTCAATTCCGAGAAAAGGGGACGTACGGTTTCTGGTAACCGAAATACTTTCTTTGATTAGATTTTTAAAAGACATTTGTTTTCCTAATTAAGTCTCATCTTGCTTCCATAAATTGTGTATAAATAGTATCCGGTTTCACTCTTAAGTAAATTTTAATAAAGAGACTCCCCTGTCCAATCTAATGGACTAGATGAAGGCGTAAATTCGTGCTTTTTTGTAAGCTAATTTGTTGATATGATTAAAGCAACGGAAGCAGAGAATACGCTTTGATGAAGGTCACAGTAGTAAATTTAGGAAATATGTTTCAAATGTTTTGCCATTTTGCTTTTAGAAGAGATAAGAAATCCCAATACTTGCATGTTCATTTTTAGCCGACCCATTCAATGCTAATTTTTGTATTGAAAAGCTGGCGACCTTTTGGTAGCAGGACAATCTACCCTATTCCAATTTATCCTATAGCATTCTAACCTATATACCAATCTACCCAACGTCTGATTTGAGACTGAATTAGCAGCAAAAAGCTGACCGCCGCAGTCGCAGAGGCAACGTGCTGCGAGCTTGCCAACAGAAAATAGGACTCTATGCAAAAGTTAGAGCCGGTTAACTATGCGAAGCGGCGACGCGTGCCCACCGGCGACCTTAAACCGAGATAATCAGCTCAATTATCTGATCAATTGAACTGTTTATAGAACATTATGTTGTTTGGCATAGGCTAGATTCTTTTTTTTATATAGACGCAATAAAGATTCAGAAGACATGGTTCCAAATTGCTTCAGTTTTCGACATGTTCGTTGTTTTCAGGGTTCTTTCACGTTATAGCCTCCAGTCTAAAAACAAAAAAGTTATTGAATTTAGACTTTACTATTATGGAAGGTTATATTTTTCTGGGGGGCTAATTTGGGAAAGGCCCGTTTTGTAGGACTGTTATTTCAAAACAATGTGCCTTTAGAGTTTAACAACGCAGTCATTTTTCCCTGAGAGGTTGTGTATTTTTTCACATTCAGTTTTTAATTTTGCTGGTTTGACTTCCGACTTTCATGTTCACTTCATTTTCATTTAAAAGAAAAGTTAAGCTGCATTCATTAGTGAAAGTTTAGCTTTAATATATCTTGAGTGAAAATGGCGCGCAAAATACAATTTGAAATCAAGTTTCAAAAGAATTTTAAATTCCGAAGTTCCCCTTTGGGATTTAAAATTCTGATTTTCTGAGTTTGTTCTTTGAGGAATATTGAAAGGAATCAATAAAAAATCAGTTGTTCATTTGAGCTTAATAACACTTCCAGTTGTCATTTGGCTGTGATGTTTATTTTGTAAATTTCTGCTTTATCAGACCGAAGACAGCAAGTTCGGGAGAGCATGCCAGCTCACATGCCGGGTTCCTGCTAGGTCTGGCTCTGAACGGGCTGCTGGATAACATGTCGACATACAACCTGCACTCGTATCTGTGTCGCAACCAGGAACTGACGAGCATCAGTTTGTTGTTGGGTCTCTGTGCGTCCAAACAGACCTCGAGAGACGAAGTGCTCGTGCGGACTATTACATTGCACATAGGTGAGTGATGTATTGTTAATGCCGAATGGTTGACAATATCGATGATCTTGAGCAATTTAATCGTTTATAAATTATAGCGTTTCAGGCTATTTAGTTTGTTGAAAATGGTTTTTACGTGTGGAAATTAGCGAAAAACTGGAAACCGAAGTCTATATTATCCGGACAAAACGAAAAAAACTTCAGTTTTCAAAGGCATTTTTCTCAATTTGAGTTGAGATTAGACAAAAAGCGAACAGAACAAAAGTTGCTTAGAATTTCATCAGAATTAATATGGTGCAGCTTTTTCTCCGAATTTCCACACCAAAATTTTACCCCAAAAATGGGTCATTTTGGCTTTTTCCAATCAATCAAGAATTACGCTGAAACTACTTTGTTAATTGATGAGAAACATATATCACAATAAGCCTCTTACACAGCCCAATAAAGTTTTAGAAAGGTCAAATCACCAAAAATTCGAGTAATTTTGTTTAAAATTTGTTTTAATGCAAAGATTTTGGGTTTTATTTAGTAAAAATCACATTTCTTGTCTGTCAAGCAAAAATATTTTTTCTTATACAGGTTTTTGGAGATTTAACCTTTCTAGATCTTTGTTGGGCTGTGTAAGAGGCTTCTTGAGATATATGTTTCTCATCAATTAACAAAATAGTTTCAGCGTAATTCTTGATTGATCGGAACAAGCCAAAATGACCAATTTTTGGGTTAAATTTTGTTTGGGAATTTCGAAGAAAAAAATTGCACCATATTATTTCTGATGAAATTCTAAGCGACTTTTGTTCTGTTCACTTTTTGTCTAATCTTAGCCCAAATTGAGAAAAACGCGTTTGAAAATTCAAGTTTTGTTCGTTTTGTCCGGATAATTTAAATCAGCACTATTATTGCTTACCAATTTCAAATAGACACTATGACATTAGCATCGTGAATAGTTTATACTCTAGGGAAAACTGAAACGTGGACAAAAATTTCTTTATCAGTCCCTTCCTTTTGTCAGTTCTTTGTTATTATCAAAGTTGAAAAGTATGTCTAATTTAAGCATAGATATGAAAAATGTGTAAAATGTGTTCTTTTTTCCTATTGTAAAATTCGATGATACTTTGTGTGAGGAACTTGCTCATGTATATTAAATCTTGGTTAAGAGTCGATGAACGTAATTCAGACTCCTCTGAATGTGCGTTGTTTTTTTTTCAGGAAAAGTCAAAAAATTTGTTCTGGCTCAACTTTATTTTTTTTGCTTTGACTTAAATTTCTTATAAAGCTTAGTATAATTTCTTTTGTTAAAAAGAAAGATAACTCCACTTTTGAACAGCAAAAGTGTTAAGGTCCCGAAAAACGTTATCGACTTCTAATTTCCAACTGTCTGTTGGCTATGTTCAGTGGTATTAGTCAGGCTGCTCAAACTGGTCACTTTAAGTTACCTGGTCACTTTTTGGTCACTTATTTTTTCTAGGTCACTTTTTGTTGAAACTGTTGTGTATATCAAGAGAATCCTAACAATTGTCGAGAGTTTTTCCAGATAAGATCATGGGACGTTGCACGTTCAATCAGAAACTTCAACGAGAGTTCACCTGGGAAAGTTCGACTTCATTCTAGCTTTTTGTAAAGTTGCAGGTAATTTTGTTTCGGAAATTTTTGGGACTTTTGCAAATTTTTTTTGACAAAATTTTATTCTTTGAAGTGTTTTTTTTTCGTTTGATTTCAATCATAGTCATTCGTTTTTGAATCGCAAGTGGCGCGAAGGTCAGCTTCGCCTCTGTGTGAAGAGTTTTATTTTTCACCTTGCTCATTATAATTTTTCAATTATTTGGTGTATTTGGATAAATAGGTTTTGGATTATGTTACATTGGATTAGGTGACTCATATTGCGTCGTTTGCATGGCAGAAATAAATCTTCACGATGAGGGACTTTCATTGTAAAATAGCTCATTTTTTATTATTTTTTATAGCTCAGTTTTTATGCAAGCCAATTTTAACGGAGGGGTCTGTCTAACTAGACATGCTTTCCTCGGAATGAGAGGTTTTTAGAGGTCTAGTTTTTCGATTTTCTTTATTTTTTGTCGGGTAGCTTGTCATGCTATGTTTACGCTGCATGGTGATTGGTGCAAACCGTAACTTCGTTCTGTGTGATGATCTTATGTGTCTTTAAAATAAATTTTAACGCTTTAATTGCAGCGCTGTATATGACAGTTTGGCATCGGAGACGAAGTAATTTGCTACGACTTAGCTAACAAAAATGAGCAATTTCAGATTTAAAATTAGCCTTATCGCTTGAGGAAGCAGGGAAGCGGTGGTGGAGTTGTTGTAACGTCTCCGTCTCTCAATTGAAAGGTCAGGTGTTCGAGGCCCAATATGATCCGTGCTCGTTGCTTGAGGGTGAGGCAGCAGTAACCCGGTCCAAAAAAAATAACCAAAAAGTTGCTTGCAGTTCTTAAGCAGGGGCACAACAGCTGTTATTCACGAAGAGCCGTACAATTCTTATGTTGGTGCTTTCCCTCGTGGATAAATCGTCCTAACTCTAAGAGCATTTATATGTAGTTGGAATGCTGAAAATTATGATGTGTTGTTTGGCATAGGTGCGCTTTTGCCGCCCAATGGTGCTGAGCTGGACGTGGGCTTCAACGTGCAAACTGCGGCTCTTCTGGCAGCTGGCTATTTGTTCATGTCTTCTGGAGACAAACACATGGCAGATGTGATGCTCAATCAAATCAACAGACCACCTGGTGAGTTTCTGTTTAAAGAAAAATGTTTAACTCGGTAGCAGGACAATCTATGACAGTCTGGCATCGAACACGAAATAATTTGTTACGACCTGGCTAACATAAATAAGCGATTTTAAATTGGAAAATTAAACGTATGGCATGAAAAAGCAGGGAAGCGGTGGTTAAGTAGTTACAACGTCTCCGCCTCTTAATTGAAAGGTAGGATGTTCGAGGCTCAATATATACCAATTTACACTATACCAATCTACCCTTTGGCAATATATCCTGCGCCTAACTTGAGACAGAATGATTACAGCAAAATAAAGATTGCCGCAGTCGCGTAAACATGTTTCGAGCTTGCCAACAGAGGGTAGGACTCTATACGAAATTTAGAGCCGGTTGTCACCCACAAGTAACCTAAAACCAAGATAGTCAGCTCAGTTACCTCTGACCAATTGAAATATTTATAGAACATTGGGTAAATTGGCATAGGGTATATTGTCATAAAACCGTTTAGCTCACAATTATTTTTTGCTCGAAATTCCAATCGAAGGACAAATGTTTGATGACATACATCGTCTTTGGTTCAAGTCATATTCAATTTTGTCTTCAAATAAGTAAGCTTTTAAATCATTTCGCTTGAAAGTATGTCTTAAAATCATAATTTGCAAGACTTAAAAGACAATCATAATTATTTTACGCACAAAATTCCAATCGAAAGTCAAATTCTAAATTTTAATTCTAAAACTCAATTTTAATATCAAAAAGTCAATTTCTTATTTTGTATTCCGTTTCGTTTAAATTATGGTTATGCTATGGAGAACTGCAAGTGTTTGATAATCGAATTTGCTTCTTAGACCGAGTCAATTTTTTTTCGTGTAAATTTTGAACTAGTTCACTATTTAACATCTACTTTTGCTGAATTTTTTGAGCGGTCATTTTTGGGTAAAGAGGCCTTGGGAGACATTACAAGTCCTAAATGGCATCTATAAAGAGGCATAATTTTTCTCGAATCCCTATTCAATCCTCATTTGCACTGCAAATCGCGAAAACTAATTATGCTCGATCTTGATTGATTGCTTTATTTCATAGGCAACTCCCATCCATCTTTTTTGCCTTTCTGGGTAAAATTTTTGATTCAAATTAAGACGCATTGAATGCAGATAACCACCATGGAAGATAAGTGAGGTCATTTTACTGAAAAGCGGTCGCTTCAATAATACATACTTAGAACGCAGATTTCCAAAGATGAAGTAATTGGAATTGGATATGTATTTTTAGTTCGAATTTTGAGGACTATTGTCAGTTTTCCGCAATGATGGGAGGATTATCTGAGGTTATGTTTTGTTCCCGGGAAACATAGAAGCTTAAATTCCTTAAAAGGAAACGAAGTGTCTTCTTTTCTACCTAATTACCTACATCTAATGCCAAAATAAGAGTCTCCGTTCTATCAGACAAATTTCAATTTCATCTGATTAGAAGTATTTGATATATAGAGGTCATTTCCGTCTTCTAAGTGTCAATGAATACCATGATTAGTCACAACAATTTCTCAAGAAAACACTAATATTGACTTAGAGCTAATTTTTCCCAACCTAACTGCCACAAATTTGAGAGTCATGAACGTAGTCAATACTCTAATATAGGTATGATTTTTTGATTTTTTTTGCAGGTAAAAGTCTAAAAACTTGTTCTGGCTCAAATTTACTTTTTCGCGGTTGACTTTGATTTTTTTTTCAGTTCATTTCCTTTGTTAGAAGGAAGGCAAACTTCACTATCGAACAGCAAAAATGTAAAGGGCACGAAAAAAGTAATCGACTTGTAGTTTCAGAGTGGATATTTATTTGCAGATGGCCCAGCGGAATAAAAAAACACTTACCGGTCCAGTTGTCTCAAATTGGGTTAATTTTATCAAAAAAAGTGTCAAATAGCCTCAGGTCATATATTTTTTGTGAGAAATTCGAAAGTGAGATTTTTTCAAAAATGAAGGTCGGCATTTTTTATCAGTTTACTTGCGCTCATTGACTTTTTTATTCGATTGAAGACTTCAAAAAAACGCATATTTTTGCAACGCCGGTTGTTCAAGAAAAAGCATTTTTCAATTGTTCAAGAAAACATAGGCATTTTTTAAATGTGCGGTATGCAATCATTGCAACTTTTCTTCGAGCACAATTTATTTTTCAGTTCCCAAAATTGAAATTAACAATGAAAATGGACGTCTCTTAGGGTTAGCACTTTGATTGTATCTGTTTTCTCTCAAAACAAAAAAAATTACTGCATTGGCTAAATATAAATTTTCTTGCGATCAGCAAGTGTGATGCAGTTGGGAACTAAACTTTTTCCCTGTAAATAATTTTGTTCACAAAATGGTCAAAATCAGTAATGATAATTTACGTTCAGTTCATCGCGAATTCAATTTTCTTGGCGTCTCCGACAAACTTGGTTCCAAACTTGGACATTGCCACTTCTTTGAGTTTTTGCTGTACGTAGTTTACATTTTAATTACCTTTCCTGATTTGAGTTGCATCTACGGTTTAGAATTTTACTAGCCTTGACTTATTATATATATTTTTTCGTTTTTTGTTTGCTTTAAAATTTTATTCAGCTCAAATGATTTCGTCTTATATTTTATCGCCTTCGTGGCCTAATTTTGGATCGTTTAGAGAGAAATATTTTTTTAATGTTGTTTTCTGTTCTGCGGAATTTACCCAAGTTTTGTCGACTAAGTTGCTGCACGACAAAGGTTTTTGGATTTTCATTAAATGCCGTCGATTTTGTTTCATGTGTTAACAAACTTCAAGTGTTATAAAGCGCTAAGTTTTTGCATGCAGCCAAATAACTGGCAGCTTCGAATCCAAAATTAGTCATCAACTCCAAGTAATTCCTTCAAGGCTAATTGCAGCGCCCTTTGCTTTTTAAATTTGGGTTCCCAGGAGTTGACGACGATGTGTACATCTGATGTTGATTTTACTTTCCGCACTTTTCTCAGATTAGCAATTTTTTTAAACTGAATGAACTGTATCATAGAGCCCTAAAACAAGTTCCGGATTTTGTAAAAAAAAAAATCATTTATGATTGACTCAGGATTTTATTTTTATTTTGTTTGTTAATTCTCATATTTTAATTGCAAGATAGCAATAAATGCACCCGTACCGTAATCAAACTATTTCCTGTTTTCTCAAAAGATTCTTTCGCCTGGTTGGAATTTATTAAATGAGCTTTCATGGTTCATAAGTCTGTTGAATCGAAGTTAATAGCTAAATCGTGCATAAACAATAGCTTTGAAGTCTTTGAAAATAAAATGTATTTGACAGTTCTAAGTTCTTATTTTTTGATGATTGAAGGTTGTTATATACTTTTATATTGCAAGTGATGGGTAAATTCGCTTCACATCTATAACGTGCACTGCAAAAACTCTAGCGTCGATCTAACACGACAGACCTTTTTGGTCTTAAATACTAAAAAAAAAACATGAAAGTTGAGTCCTTGCACCACTTGCGATACCTCACATACATAGTATGGCAAGCTACCCGGCAGAAAACTAGATCAAAGCCACTTGGTCGAAAAACCTACTGAATAAAATCTCGAAAAAGGCAAGGTCCACCAAAAATTTCAATAAAGTTTTATTCGCTACGGTCATCATGTGGAAATTACTCCATAAAGAAAAATTGTAGCGTGAAATCAGCATTGAAACGAAATTTACGATGCTGTAACTAAGCCGATTGTCCCAAAGCACACACACACACGCACAGGAAATCTTTTCGTTTTTCCAACGAAGCAACATAGGCGGCTAAGCCCATATAACCTGAAACGAAAACTTTTGAATCGTACAAAAAGTTAGGGAAAAAATCCTAAATTATACAAAATCGGATTTGGTAAGTTTATAACGAACATAAAAATTTAACGACTCGCTCATAAAATGACACAATTTATTCAGTTTTCTCAAATTGATTTTTTTCGAAAAAAAAATTAATCATATCTTGTTCTTGAAAGTCAAAGAATTTCAAGGCTTTAAATTTATAAGAGTCGATGAATGAATTTCAAACTCTAAGATAGGTCGCGATGATTTTTTTTTCTGGAATTTTCAGCTCATTTTTTTTTTGCAATTTGACTTTTCTAAGTTTGATTTCCTTCTAAGAATAGAGATGCGTATAATTTTTAAGTGGCTATTACTGTAAGTTTGATGTTGCAAATACATAGTTTTTGGAAATACCTTTGGTGGCAATGGTAACAGTTATCGAAACAGTCTGTGCTGCCCGTAACACGTTTTCATACCAGAGTAAGGTCATTTCTCTGTTGTGTAAATTATTCCATTCGAGAGCTATTTTCGTAAGCTGTAACTTGTCATTGTTCAGCTAAGTGACATAATTTTGACAGTCGGCCGTGAAATTATACCCTTAAAATTTTGAACTTAATTTTTGCACGCTGTTTGCAGCTTTCTTAATTTAACGCGCATGTGATAAGACACAATTTTGTAATCAGTTCATGCTTTTGAGGAGAAGTTTATTAGTTATTTCTATTCCTGGAGAATGACGTGTACACGGGATGTGGATTTGGAAAAACACTTGGTGTTCAGGAAAATAATTCATCCCAAAATCGCTACCTGAAATTTAAGTTATTTTGTTCACTCAGTTCATGGTCTGGTGCTTCAAGGCTGGTAGGCTTAAATAATTCCAGTTTTGAATTCCAAATGAGACGTTGTCTGCGCATGAATTTGATCCTGCTCAGATGGTGTTCACTGGGCTTAATAGCTGAGCAAGACCAAACTCGATTTTTCGTGGTTTGACTTCTGATTTTGAAGAGTCATGAACGAAATGAATACTCTTAAATAGTTCGCGTATATTTTTAGGTATATATGCATTTTTTGAGTTCAATTGAACTTCATCTGCTGAGAATAAGGTAAACAACACTCTCCAAATACGAACATGGAAATGGCTCGAAAAAACGAACGATTTCTAGTATCGAAAATGAAGTTTAATTTTTAGATTTCCAGCGGCATAAAAACTTTACCTTTTGATCCATTTTTCTCAAGTTGGGTTAATGTTATCAAAAAAGCGCCAATCATAAATTATTCTAGAAATTCAAAGAGATTAAAGGGCATCTATATTTTTTCTTTGAAATTTGCAAGTTGAGATTTTTTTCAACAAAGTCAGTGTTTTTTTTTCATGTTTGCTAGCGTTCATTACTGTTTTCCAATCTTCGATTGGTTTTGTTATTTTTTATAAGTGTCGATGAACTTAGTTCAAACTCGTATACAGGCCGCGATGGTTTTTTCAAATTTTTTTTTTCAGGAAAGGTCTTGAAGTTTGTTCAGGCTCAAGGTAACTTTTCTGCGGTTTGAATTTCGATTTCTTTTCAAGTTTAAATCATTTCCTTTGCTGAAAGGAAGGCAAACTCCACTAAGCAGCGAAAGTGTAAATGTCACGAAAAACGGGATTGACTTCTAATTTCGAAATTGGAGTTAAATTATCAGATTTTCCAGCGAAAATAAAATTTTACTTTCGATCCCGTTATCTCAAATTGGGTTAGTTTTATCAAAAAGTGGCAATCATTTGTTGTTCTAGAAAGTCAAAGAGCTTTAAGACCATCTTTCTTTGCCTGAAAATTCGCAATGACTGAAAGGGCTTTAATATGACATTTCAGCGCTTATTTCAGGTGCCAATATTTATCTGGAACACCTGAAAATAGAGTGCTTTATATTTCGAAGAATTGCATTACTCGAATGAATTTTATGAACGCTATAGAACATCAGCAAAAGTTCTGCTTACTTTCAGAAAAATTCAAAAAAAACCACGAAAATCCAGATATTAGCTTCATAACCTATTAACTAGCCTAGCCGCCTAATGAATGATAATTTTTCCTTTTTTCTCGGTATCCAGAAAACTCGGCTTAGAGATTAGGCACATATCGGCTTAGAGGGGACGTAATAACTTACGTAATGTTCTATATTCGACTCTTTGCTGCTGTTTTGATCATTTTCTCTTTTCCAACTGTGTTGGCTGAGTTTTTGAATTGACCTGACGTTCAATTGACAAAAAACTTCAGTATTTTTTCTGCTTACTTGCTTTCATTGAATTTTTTCCAACTGTCTGTTGGCTATGTTAGAAAATGGCAATCATGAAAAATTTAAGGAGCTTGTTTTTTTACTCAAAAATTAAACACTGAAAAATATTTTTTTAATGATATTGCTCAAAAGCTGAAAAATGTTCAAGAAGATTTGTTTCGGTGAAGATTTGTTTCGGTGTTTTGATCATTTTCTCTTTTCCAACTGTCTGTTGGCTGAGTTTTTGACTTGAACTAATGTTTAATAGCGTTCATAAAATTCATTCGAGTAATGCAATTATTCGAAATATAAAGCACTCTGTGTTCAGGTGTTTTTCCAGATAAATATAGGCACCTGAAATAAGCGCTGAAATGTCATTTTAAAGCCTTTTTAGTCATTGAACAACCTGCATTCAAAAAACTTCAAAAAGTTTTCTGGATACCGAGAAAAAAAAAGGAAAAATTATCATTTGTTAGGTGGCTAGGCTAGTTAATAGGTTATGAAGCTAATATCTGGATTTTCGTGTTTTTTTTGAATTTTTTGAAAATAATTGTGGCCAAAACTTTCTTCACTAATTGTACAGCAACCGACTAATCTTGTCGTTTTTTGTCGGAAAATTCTGTACTGGCTTACTATAAACCGGATAAATCCTGATTTAATTGTATCGGAGGTGTGGCGTCTCCAACTCTTCGTTCGTGTTAATTTTAAAGCACGTTATCGTGAGATAACTAAAGATATGCCTTGCAATGTTTAACTGAATTGAGAATTCAGTTATGCCTCAAAGTCTTATATCAGTTCCTTGTTTCAACCCTTTCTCTGAAACAAAGTGTTGAAATGTAAGATGATATCTTTTAAAGGTAGTTTTAATGATCATAATTGTTCGTATTTAGGTCCCGAAACTGAGAACTGTATCAACCGTGAATCATACTCGCTAGCAGCTGGACTGTCTCTTGGCATGATTCTACTGGGCAAAGGACCAACTCTATTCGGAGGGCCCAAAAGTGGAGCATCATTCACCAGTCAGCTTTGCTCCTACATCAAAGGCGGCTCCAACCCCCACATTTTGCTCCAAGCTAATTGTGATCAAACGAGAGAAGGTGAAAATATCAACCTATTAGTCACTTCACCGGGGGCATCGCTAGCTACTGGGCTAATTTTCTTCAACACTTGTTCATACTCGATTGCTGATTGGTTCACGCCTCCTCAAACAGCTCTGACAATTGACTCGGTGCTACCTGAACATCTTTTAGTTCACGTCGTGGCAAAGTCGTTAATTTGTTGGCAGGAAATTCTTTTCACTCATGAATGGGTGCTTAGTAATTTACCCTTATTTCTGAAACCTTTTTTGACACGTGATCTCAAACCGAATTTGAGGAAGAACTTCTTGATTTCTCATGTTGGCAAGCGTTTTGTAATATAATCGCGGGTAGCTGTTGCGCGTTGGGACTCCGTTTTGCGGGCAGCCAAAACAAAGGAGCTTTTACTCTGGTATTGCAATTTTTGAAGGCGTTTCTCATTCTGTTCGAATCTGGAAGTGGTTTCGACGCAAACACAGGATCCAGAACTGTGTTCGTATGTCTACAGACAACTCTGGTTGCAATATGCATGATAATGGCCGGAACTGGAAATCTGGAACTTTTGGCAATTATCAGAAAACTGCACTGTCCGCCAAAAACAGTTGGACCAAATTTTGATTATGGTCAGCAAATGGCTATTCATATGTCTTTGGGACTACTCTTCCTCGGAGGCTGTCGTTATACCTTACGTAATGACCCTGAAGCAATTGTGTCACTGTTAGCGGCTTTCTACCCTACATTTCCAATATCCAGTGACGATAATCGCTACCATTTACAGGCTTTCAGACATCTATACGTTAAAGCGTGCGAGCCTAGATTGCTATTGACAAGAAATGTCACTAATCACTCGATAGAAAGAGTTTTGGTGAAAGTTGTTCTACACGAGAGCTTGCATTACGACGAATACGCCTTTGAAATGGTTACACCCTGTCTTGTACCGCAGTTAGACCTAATTTCACGAGTTGAAGTAATTAACAGAGCTCCGTTGTATAGATTTTTGGCGACAGAAACATACCTAAACAGCAACGAGTCTCGAAAAGAGTTCGCCCTACTCTTGAAATCATTTCTTTTTGTTCAGCCTCATTGCAATGAAAGCCGAAGTCGCCTAAACCTTCATGAAAATAAAAATGGTTCCAATTCGGCTATGCATAAATATATGCATCGAGACGATGCTATAAATACGAACTCTACCGAAAATTCTTTTGTGCAACCGTTCTTAGAAGCTTTCAAGCAGTCTGTTAAAAGTCTCGACCAGATATTAATTTCATCGCAATTAAACAAAAATAAACACATTTCCCCGGCTGGTTCAGAAATTCAAACCACCGGAACGTTTGATCCGAGAAATACTTCTGACAAAGCACCTAAGTGGAAAAAAGGATCGTGTCATAATCAATTGGATCAATACAAATCAAAGTATAACCATCAAAGCGAGATTTCTCAACCGGAAAAGTCTTCGTCACCCTGTAAGTATCAAAATACAAAGCAAATATTAAAGCAACTAGCACTATTCGAAGCCTTTGTCGAAGCAAATTGTGACAACTCAATTTTGACTCATAAAGAGTCTCCTATCGCGATTTCGCCCGGAAATGATAGTTTAAATCTAAACGAGAAACTAAATTTCACAGATAATAGCTGGCTCAAATGTTTAAGTTGGACCATTAGTACGAAATTAACATACCAGCTAGAAGCCTACTTAAGCAACCAGTTTTGCGATATTTGGAAATATTTTCTGTCCTTTGATTTAAAAAATGCCCTTGAAAATACTTCATTACCAGAATCTCCAGTTAGTTCAACAAGTGGGTCTCAAAATTCTAACTCACGTCCGAAAAGCAGCAGAAATCGCGGCACCGAACATGCCTCGAAAAAATCAGGAGGGGGAGTCGTTACAACATGTGTCGATGCAAATTCGAATGCAAAAGATCCTCATGATACTAAATCTTTTTCCTCTACTGAACAATTTGAGGGAAATATCGGACCAGAAATGAGTTCTTCCAGGCTACGATTTCGTTTCAATTTGAAGGAAGTGAACTACTTAACTGAGCTGAATTCTTTCTTGGGGGTCGATGGCAATTTAATTTGCTCTTCAATTCGAAATTCACTTTCACCTGAACAGAGATTGTATATTGAAGAAAAGGTATTTAGAAGCTACTTGTCGTTCAGCAAGACAGATGATTATTCGGCAGCAAAATCTAGTGACCGCATTAACGAACGAGGGGACAAAAATACTAGCACATTGGCTTCCTCGCTCATAAATATCACTGTTGGCAAGAGAGGCGGTCCTAATACTAGCTCTAATTTACAGCAATGGACCAAATCCTGTAGCAGGACTACCATTACAGGCAATAATTCAGTGGATATTGCAAGTGGGGAAAATCTACAGGAATTTATTCAGTTCGACCACTTGCTTCCCAACGTACTAGCGGTCGTGAGAGACAGTGCCTGTAAACCTAGTGGCGACGCACTTTTCCCAGTGACCGAGAGGAAAAAGGGAAAAGAAGCTAAAAGGAATAACGGTATAACGGCTACAAATAGAAGTGAGGCTACGGTAGTAGCGCATTTTAGTGAACTGCAATTGGCGGTTTTGTTCCACGTGCTTTGCGTTATTTCCTCAGCTTCACGCAATCTTAGAGTTTAGACCGCTTTTTTAGCTAGAGGAAAACGGACACTGAAATGAATTAAAATGGAGCTGTATTCTGGCTGCCCTGACAGAAATTTAATTTGAATTCAATTTGTGATTTGCTGGCTTGTTTCACTTTTTCATTCTTCGCTCTGCTTCTGCTCATTATTTTATTCTACACTTTGGAAACTGTAAGTAGCCTCTTTTTAAACAGTAATTTTTGCAGAATTTGTTTTTTTTTTTGGCTTAAATGATTTGCAATCTAGACCATTTTTATTCAAGTATTCGTTTTTGTAGCTTCGTCGTTTCTTTTTCTTCAAAGAGATGTTTAATCTATTGAAAACATACCTGTAAAACTGTCAAAAAGGTTTTGAGCATTGTTTTTTGAATTTGAAAAAAATGTTTATTTTTCGCTATTTTTTGTCAGCTTTATTTGGGTTTTTCATTTTTATACAGTGCTGATTTAAAATAACCGGACAAATTGAGCAAAATTGGAAAATTTAAACGCGTCTCCTCAAATTGGGTTGACTTCAGAGAAAAAGTAGTCAGAAAAAAATCGGCGTAGGTTTTTAACAGAATTAATATGGTGCAATTTTTTTCGGACCCAAAAACCTGCCCTATACGAGAGTCTTTTTTGCTTATTTTTTTTAAATATTAAAAAGTTACGCCGAAACTGCTGGAGCAACTGATGAGTATCTAATTGGAAAGAGAACCTCTTATGTAGCCCAGTAAGTTGGTTTTAATCTCTCACGTTTTGTTTAAATGAATTTTTGTTTGATAAATTTTGAACATGTCGTTAATTGATTGTCAAAAAATGTTATTTATAATACATAGAAAGCCAAATTTTTCCCAACAGTTTGCACTAATTTTTTTAAAGGTTTAATCAGCTTAATTTTTGTTGGTCTACATAAGAGGTTCTCTTTGATATAAATTGCTCATCTGCTGCTCCAGCAGTTTCGGCGTAGTTTTCGATTGAATTAAAGAAGCCAACAATGACCCTTCTTTAGGGCAAATTTTTGAGTCAGAATTTTGCAAACTAACCCAATTAAAGAAAAACGCGCGTGAAGTTAAAAATACTGTTTGTTTTGTCTGGTTAATTTAAATCGAACAATAAATTTATTCAAAAGGCTTTGAATTTAGAGAAGCACCCTGCAATCGAAATTGATTCGTTCGCTGTCTTCTTTGAGTTGCTATAAAAGTATTCATGATTGCTTTTTTCAATGGTGTTTAATTTCAGCGGACTGTTTACTGTCCTGGCCGACCACGCATCGGAAAGGAAATAAGTATTCGGGAGTTCTTTTTTCACAAAAAAGTGAGGCACCGCAAAGAACGTTGTCCGAACTCGTGCAGAATTTTAACGTGGTTTTTTCCGAACTCATCTTCTGAACTGTTCACACTAGCGAGCATTAGTGTATTAGTACGAACTTTTGTTTTTCTAACCGAACTCGCAAATAAAAGTGTTCATTGAAAGTGCTCACTTATATGGAAATTTCTCTGTAGCATTGGCAATTGCATAGCATCTGTTCTCTGCTTTATTTGTGACTGGTGTTTTTGATTGATTAAGCGTCCGTGGCTGAATTGTTAGTGCGTGAGACGCATAATCTCTAGGTTGTACGTTCGAATCGGAGACTTAGCCGAATTTTTACTAATTCGAGGCTTATTTCTACTTTTTCTTTTTGCACTTTATAGAGCTGCTTTTTGTGTGTTCTCGCTAGTGTTCTTGACTCTGTGTCAAAATTGATCATGCAACTATTGATTAGATCTCGCTCCAGTGCGCTTGAAACGCTGCAGTAGTATCTTGATGAAAAATGCACAACCGAATATATATCCTTTTAATGAAAGTGCATTTCGTGCTGCTTTTTAAGAGTAATGAACGTTTAAAGCGTAAAAGGGGCGAAGTGACTTTAACTTATATCGGCCGTGATGATATTTGTGAGGAAAATCCTAAAATATATTTACGCTCAAATTTGATTTTTCTTGATTTTTTCTTCGAAAAATGAAAATTGTTGAAAACGTTTTCAATTATTTTTTCTTCGGTTTCCTTGTTCTTTTTACTTTTTAGTAACTGCTTGTTGGCTATGTTTTTGTTGTAAAAGCATATGTGCTTAGCCGGACAATTTTGCGAATTGGTTAAGAAACGATACTCCAAATTAGTTGTGTCAGTAAGTGAATTTGACTTTCTTAGTTCGGGCGATTGTTTTTTTCTAGAAACTGATTTAGTTACTTTATCCGTTTTTGACCTCTCTGTTCAGTACGTTATCCATGTGACTTATGCTATTCATGTTCCTTTTTTCCGATTGACTTTTTAAAATTTTATTAACATTTTCCAACAGTTCGTTAGCCAGGGGATTGAAAAAATTAGTGGCCATGCATTATCTGGTGAAAATCTATTGTTCCATTAGTGGTAAATAGAAAAATCAATTATCAGAGAAATTCCAAGGGCCAGATAATTCAGTTAGTGTCGTTTGTGTCTGATTCGAATTTTTTTCCGATTGTTCGTTTGTCCTCTTTAGTTTATCTTGTTGGAGCGGTTTCTTTTCCATTAAAGCTGGTGACGTATTTTCCTGGTGGTCGTTGTAACTAAGCGTAACTTGGTTAACTGAAAAGTATTTAGCTCTGTCGAAACAAAAAGAAAGCAAACAAACCAGCGTGTTGTTGAAGTGTGCATCAAAGAAAGCAAGCTTTCTTGAGCTCACTGCTTCTTTTTTGACACGCGAACAAGTAATTTTGAAGTCTTGTTTTCTATGTTACATATGTTTTTCTTTCGAGGCTTATTTTCGTGTTTTCTTGCGGTTTAGAATTCCTTTTTTGTCGCTTGTTTCGCATTAGAATGCAAAATGAAGCTTCGATGTGCGCAGACAATATTAAATATGTGAGCTTAACTGATTGAATTTGGAATATGAAAAAGAAGGTGAAACGAAACGGATTCTTCTGTTTTGACTACTATATCTATCAAATCGGTTCCTTGCAAGCGGCGTAATACAAGCGGAGATTGAAATTTGTTTCCTAAAGTGAGAAGTGCTTAAAATGTATTTACTTTTCAAAGAAACAGTGCAATCTAAATGTTTTAAGTCCGTTTTAATTGAAAAAAGTTTGTTTGAAAAAAAAGTAAAGGAAGTTGTAATTGAAGCAAAAGAGTTTTTCTAGTCTGACTGTGAGAATTTCAATTTTGATGAAAATTTCAACCAGCTTATTCGAACAACTTTAAAATTTATTTTTATACAGAGCCTCAATTCAATTTGGAACGATTTTGTTGTGCGGGTGTAGTTTGATTAAAAATTGTACAAATAACATAACCTAATTGATCATTTTATCCAAAACCGAGAAAAGATTTATAAGCATCTTTCACGGATACTTCCGGGTGTTTATTTTAACTAAGCGTTGAGAAATTTTTATTTTAGCCGCATTTTTACCTAAAAACATTTTTTCAAATCACTGAATTCTAATGGTAACTAATGACAAAGTAGCGAAATTGACTTGAATATTCCTAAATAAACTTTGACTACAAATTTAATATCGGACATTAATTCTGAAGAAAATAAATATTTGATACTATTCAAGTTTTTTTTCATATCAACCATATTTATTTAAACCTTATTCAAGTGTTTTTTTTTTCATATCAGCCATATTTGGAAGTCGACAGATTAGGAAGTTTTGCGCTGAATTGAACTTATTTTTATGTCAATCAAAAAATTTTAAAATATACAATGCAGACGTTTCATGTGAGTGACAAGACTTTTTGTCTCAAAAATGCTATATTCATGCATGATTTGGCTCATTTACAATTTACTTGGTTGTCTGATGAAAAAAATTGTATGTTCGTTTCGTCAACTGAAAATAAAAACATATATCTATCTATATGTCTTTCTATATATCTATCTATTTATCTGTTATCTATCGGTCGATGTCTCTATCTATCTATCTATCTATCTATCTATCTATCTATCTATCTATCTATCTATCTATCTATCTATCTGTATATCTCTGTGTCTAATCATCTATCTATTTGTACATTTTTCAACTAAGGGTCCTAGTGAAACATGTTTAAGAAGTACCTCTTTTGACCTTGCCAATAAATTGCAGCGTTTAAAATTGTTACTGAAGTCAAAGTTTTGAAATACTCTATACGAATGTTGAATTGGGTCTTTTTTTATCCAGAAGAGCATTTGAATGCATGGTAATTCATGATTTTCACCATACATTTGATGAAGCACGAACGCTTTAAGTCTACATATTTTTTGTTTTTAGCTTAGTGTTTTTTATTTTTGAGTTAATTTAGTTGATTATTTTTTTTTTATTTTTTGAGTTGAAATTTGTGACGCCATATGAGGGGCTACCATAATTCCCCCAAGTGTTGCAAATCTGGCCATGAAATGTGACTGCTCAAATACTTAAGCTGTACGAGATATGACTATTTTTGTGATTTTTTCAATACTTTTTCTATAGCTTAGATTTTAAAAAGCTTCTTCAAATTTAAAATTCTTACGACTATGGTAATGTGCTCTCAGGATATTCCCATTCTCAGGGATTGCAAATTTTGCCTCCAAATATGGCTGCTCAAATCCTTTTAGTTTTAAAAAAAACTTACATTTAAAAAAACTCGACCCTGTTTCTAGTTTGGACTGATGTCAGGTTACTTTCAAGGTTTTGCAGATGTGACTCCCAAACATAACTGCTCAAATGTTTTTATTTTTCGTGTTATCGAAATTTTTTAAAAAGTTATTCAATTTTATCAAGAAAACGTCGTGTTCATGTTCATTAAATAATCACGCTGTTTTAACTATTGATGACAGTAGATGATATAACTACGGGCGGCTAATGAAATTGAATTACTAAGTTAAACAATAAACTGTTCAAAGAAGTTAATGATTTTACAAAAAATATTCATTTTAGAACTTTTTATTCATATATGAAAAATGCATTTGTAAGTTGTCGGCTTTTTTATGGTCTTACTCCTGAGTGAAAAATGCGAAGATCCGAAAAACAGTAGGTTTTGTGGCATGACTATGTAAGTAAAAGAGAACCTAAAACTTAATTTGTTTTAACATTTTTCAATTTATGAAATAGAAATTGCTGTCAGATGCGCTGTCTATTCTTAGTTGCATTAGCTTTCTGTTGTTTTAATTTATACATTTTAAGAAGCTATTCTCACGGTTAAGAATTGCTTTTACGCACTGAAGTTGCGAATCACGCGCTAGTTTGTTCCCAAATTTCAATCAGCGAAGTAATGACACTTATTTTAGGTCGCGTTGTTTCAAGAGGTTATCTATCATTTTTTGAAAATAGAGATCCAAAAAATGAGCCTTAAAGCTGTGTGTAGCCTTTTTCGAAAATAGAATTTCGAAAATAGCGCCTAAAATATATCTCATCTAATCTAAGCTTTTTGAAGCTAAAGAGTAACTTAAATTGAATGTGTTGACGTCATTTTTGGCTTCTGAAGTTAGTCTTCTTAGGAGGAATTAGTTCTTATGAAATAGTTCTCTGATGAATGAACTCTTCTCTGTTTTAAGTCTTATTTAAAGGTGATACATCTTTATTACTTGTTCTGGATTAATAAGTGCCGAAGTTCTTTTGTAGCCAGGGTCAAATGTCTAAGAAAACCATTTCATGAAACTCGTTGCCCATTGAAGCCATCAATAAATATCGGTCGACTTTTATATTGATGTTTTTTACTGCTGTAGGTATCAAAGACAAGTCTTTTTATTTTAACGGAAATTGAAACTATGTGCTTGCTCTTTTTTATTTTTTTTCTGTTGTTTGATTTGTATTTTATTTTTAAAACTCGCTTTTTAAATTCATTATCGAAACGGATCTCAACTTTGGCAGGCCTTGTACTGTCAAAATTTGATATCTTTTATAAAAGACACATATTTTTAAATATATAGAATTTTCAAAACTCCTCGGGTAGAGTTGCTTTCAAAGCAACTAATTAGTTTAAAAAGGTGCTTGAGCTACCATTAATAATTCATCAGCCAAATCCTGAACATCAGCCTCACAAACAACAAAAATGTGTACTTGGAAGGGCAATTTTTATTGCACACCAACTGGTTATTCTCTTGTTAAGAATAGTGGGATAAGTAACTTCGGCGTAGTGTTTTTAGGGCTTTCATCCTGGTATCTCTAAAAGCTATCTGGGGTCTCAAATTTAGTATCATGTGAGAACCCTCTTAGTTCTAATTCGGTTTCCAAAAACTTGTCGCACTGCCGAGAAAACATCTGAGTTAAATGAATCTCAAGATTTTTTTTATTACCTATTTCACATTTTTACATATTACTACGTATTTGTTTTTTTTTCTAACCTAACTCGCAAATAAAAGTGTTCACTTATTGGTTTGCTCTTTTGCTATAATCATGATCTAGCATTGGAAGTTTCATAGCATCTGTTCTGGCTTTATTTGTGGCTAGTGTTTGACATATATTAAGCTTGCGTGGCTTAGTGGTTAGTGCGTTAGTTTCATAATCTCCAGATCGCAGTAGCTTGCAAGATCGAATCCGAGGCCTAGCCGAATGTTAACTAATTCGAGGCTTATTCTTAATGCACCTTATAGAGCTGCCTTTTGTCGTGTTCTCGCAAGTGTTTGCGAAATGAAGCTTCGCCTCTTGTGTTTTGACCCATTCCAAATTCCTCTTAAAAACCACTAAAAATTTAAATTAAAAAAAAAACGTTTTTTTTTCGCTCGCTTTGCTTATTCTCGAACTTCTAAACTTTCTGCAACGATTTGTGTGATGTAATCAAACTCCGTTAGTGCACAGTAATGGTTAACTCAGTTGTAAAGCTTAAATTTCGTTTCATTGTCGCGTCACTTTGATTGGTAGAAATAGTATGTATTCTCAAGTAGCAAAATGAATAATCAGTTCTCTTGTAGCAAAAAAAGTCAGTCCAGTTAGTACCAAAATTATTCAATTTTTCATAAAAAGTTAAATTGTTTACCTCGGCTTAAGGTCCTCGGTGGGCGCACTTTGTGGCACCACGGCGATAACCGGCGCTAAATTTTCCTATGTAGTCTTACCCTCTGTTGGCAAACTCGCAACATGATGCGACTGCGGCGATCACTATTTTGCTTAGGCTCGTTGGTTTTATAATGATTGAACAATAGTGAATCAGTTGAACTAATCACTGGCTCAAAAATTGACAAATCGGAGTTCGAGTTGATTAAGTTAGGTAAAAATGCGACCGATTTCTCAATTTGGTACAAGTGAGTGTTGGTACAAACGGGGTTTCATAAGTAAAAATCAGTTGCAACAGGTCAAAACGGTGCTGCGTATCTTGGCCGGTGAAGTTCCATTTGTAACCAATGTTCACTTGTACCAAAAAAAAAAAAAATTGGTAGCATCTAACAAGATAATCCATCTAGAACTCTGATGGGTCAATATTTGAGCTAATGATTAGGTTATCCTATTAACTTTTAGAGCCGGTTATTTTTCGTAAGAGCCTCTACCGGCGACCTTGAACGAAGGTAGTCAGTTTATATTATTTGAACAATTGAACAGCTTTGCTTCTGAAGTGACTGATTTTTTCCTTTGACATTTTTACTGGATGCGCAAGGTTTTATGCTTTAAAGCTCAGAAACTATTAAATATAGAGGATTTTGCTTTCAACAATTTGGACTCAGCTACCTTCGAGTTCCATTTTGAACTCAAATGACTTAATTTAAAGTGACATGATCCCGCTCGGTCGATACTTGAAAGGAAAACTAACAGTGGCTAATTATCGGAGGGAAATTGGTTTTTAAAAAACGCGCGAGCGGTTAATTTTTTAAATTTACAACCTTTCATCGGTTTCTGTTTTATTTCTTCGAATAGGTATTTTGTAGTCCCAACTCATTTTTTTCTAATTAATTGGTTAAAAAACACTTAAGTGTAGACATACAACCCTTTTTTTTACCTTGTAGAAAAGATATGCTCTCGCATCTCAAATTTGCTTGCTGAGTTTCAGGCTGAAAGCTGATTGTTTTTAAAACCCCTTTAGACAAACTTGTAAATTGACAAGATTAACACTAATGGTGTAATCTTCTTCGAGAAAAGAGTTGACAAAATGGCGCGATATTGTATTATAGAAATTGAACCAATATAAGAGAAAAGTGTAAAAAAGCAGCATCTTTTAAGCGTGTGTAGTATGAGTCTATTTGCACTTCTGTTGCTATAATTCAGAAGTGGAAGACGAGATTTCCCTCCTTTTCAAATCAGTCCTTGTTTTGTATTACCACCTTGTGAGGGATTAAAATTGGGGGGAAAAGAACATCAAAAGACCGCGAGAATAAAATATATACCATTCCTCCCTTTTGGAAATTCAGAAAAATCTGCGCTACATTTTTAGAATGCTTACCGTCTTCTCCAAGCAACGGGTAAGCGTGTCATCTTCCCTTGCTAGCTAATGGCTGATTTTTTTTAGTTTTTCATTTTTTCTTAGCGCGTTTTCTAATTGGAAAATTTGAGCTTTTAGAAAGGAAAAGAAGAAATTCTCATATCCTGTGTGCCGTCATTTTTTGTTCGGGTAATTAACAAAACGGTAAGAAATGAAATCAAATATTTCCAATTTTTAGTAAAAGGCGGGAAGCAATCGATTTTCACCGTTGACTGTTTTCTATTTTAAAATTGTAAATCAGCTCAAAATTATATTGTTTAAGGCTTCAAATGATATTGACAGAATTCGTTTCTAATCCCGTAGGTTGCGCATGAACTAATTATTATTTTTTATCGCCAGAAAAGGAGCAAATCAGTTTTGGTGATTCACTCAATTAGATTCCGAAATCTAGAGCAACTCGATTTGTATCGCGAGCTGTTCTATGTTTAGATTATTTGTTTTTTTAATCAATAATTGAACGTTTTCTGTGCATCATCAGTAGATTCATTTGTCTTATTTATTTTCAGTTACAATATGGCGACTTACTTTAACAGTGCAATATATTCCTCAATTTTTTTCGCCATCTGTATCTTCTTACCGATCAGAGCATTGGATGCTTTCGACATAGAGCTGAACCATTTCAACTTAGTTGACTTCAATTTGACCCTGGACGTTGACTCCAGATTTGACGTGAACATTTCAGTAGTTAGACTCGAGGCAGTCGGAAAGTTCGGACAAGATAGCTCTGTTAAATCTGCCAGTGGCGAACTGTGTATTCCGAAAAAGTATAAAGCGAGTTTCACAACTGGGTGTAAATCCACAGAATATGAAGGGTGTATTAATGAGTTCGGCAAAGGAAAATTCGTTGCGATTGTGGACCGCGGAGGCTGTGATATGTTTGACAAGGCAAAAGTTGCGCACAAGGCGACTGCTAGGGGCTTGATTGTTGTAGAAACTGCTTCAACTACGGACCCGCTGGACCTCAAAGGTAAATAATTTGTGATCGAAATAATTGTGTGAGTGGTGATTTGGTGATGCATTGGAGTGAGTGGCAATGCTCACGAGGGGATTTCTCGGGGTTCGGTCCTCGTTCCCTTCCCCTGTCAAGAGTCCCCCGGTGGTACAATTTGACGGAGTCTCCTTAAAAACCTCCCTGCCCTGATAGTTTTACTGAATCATATTTTAAGGCTTTGTTTCTGAAAGATGGCATTGTTTATTTGATACTTCAAAAAATAGTTCGTTTTTTTAAAAAAACTACGTATGTATATATTTTTCAAGCTAATCTGTTTTTTTTCAAGCTCAGCAGGATAATGAGCACTATTTGTTAAGTTGCCGAGCCTGTTTAAAGTTGTTATCGGCAAACTAGCTGATTTTTTGATAATTTTTTATGAAGATCTACTAGAACAGCTGATTACTTAGCGGAAAAGTTTCGTATCATAATCGTTGCTATTTTTTTCATTCTGCAATTTCAAGTTTGTCATTGAACTCTAAATAAATACTAATTGGGTCGTGTTCTTTTTGGTCGGGAATGTCAAAAAAGTGTCTTGTACTTCAAAAATTGAGGTGTTGGATTTTTTTAATTGAAACTGGATAATGGAAAAATTGGGCTCATTAATTAATGAAATATTTTTGGATGAAAATCATATTTAATGCATGAATAGAAACGGGACAAGAGGCAAAAATGGACGATAAATTCACCTTCGAATACCATAAGATGGTATAAAACTCAACGATGATGAGGAAGATGATGTTACTACCACCAGAGTTGGAACCGGGCCCGGGTTTGAAATTTTTGTTTTGCAACCGGGCCTGAAGCAACCGGAACTGGCCGGGCCCGGCCTTAAATTCAGGCCCGGCTCCAACTCTGAATGTCAGTTTTCCATGTTTTTCCAAGTAGTAGATTTGAAGTGTGTTTTAGAGTATGACCACCCACCGCACAGTGGTAAGTTCCAGACATACAAGACGACTTCTCTGGACCACTCCTTCATCAGAGAGGCTTCCACCAGACCCAAATGTGAGTAATCGAACTCCAAATGAGAACCATTGAAAAAATATCACCATGCTTTTTAATTATATTGAGTCTTTTTTTGTTTTAAACTGGTCTGCAGAAGTGGATGTCTTAAAATGATTTGCTTAAGAAATGGGGACGTTTTTGGTGGTCAGGGGGTCAAAACCCGAAAAAAATCCTCGGCCCCAAACCCTCCCCTCCCCTCCGTCCCTCCCACCCTAAGTTCGTTACTGCGCTTTGAAGATGAGTTGGATTTTCTTTGCGCTATAGAGATGTTTGTATTACAATAGGTTTTTAAAGTACAAATCAACAAAACTGAATTTATAATATATTGGGTCTGAATTTCGCGTTTGCTATTAATTAGTAGGACAAAAATCAGATTTATATCTCTGAGTTTTTGAGGGAGGTGGTATTGAGTGCCAGAGTATCAAAAAATATGTGCCTATTCATCTATCAACCTGTAACCAATTAGATAACTCTTTCAACTGTTTTAGCGGACATTCCGTTCGTGATTTGCACGAAAGCGATTGGCCGAGAGCTGCGCGCCTTCGTCTATAATAAGTCCGATTTCCATTTGGAGATGTTCGACGGGGGCATGCACGGGACAGAGTTAAGAGTGCCCTCCTCCAGCCTGCTGCTGGTGTTTGTCGCATTCATAGTGCTCACTATTATTTCCATGATATGGCTCATTTTCTACTATGTGCAGCGGTTCAGATATCATCACCATCAAGACAGAGTCATTGTGAGTATATCATTTAACAGTTCAAGTTTCATAAGTGGGTTCCTAATAGGTCGATGGGTCCCTGGGGAAACAATGAGCGGCTTAAAATCTTCCAAAATACGATTTCCGTTTGTTGTCTTGCGTTTTTGATTTTTTCTTTTAAACCGCCATCTTTCATTCATGATTTTTCTAGGAGCCTAGCTATTATATATATTTGTACACATTTCGCTCTTTTGCCTTTTGATATCTCCCCTGTGAATGGTAAATTGGGGCTTAATTATACATAAATTGGACGATGTGATCTGATTTATTCGTTAAATTGTAACAGAGCTGCAAACAAAGTAGTTTTTTACAAAGATATTGTTCCGACTTTTGTAACGATAGTAACGGAATATTTGTGCTCGGGGTGGATTTTTTTTTCTTCAGACAAATTTCGACTTTTTAACTAGCCATTTTTACAGATTTTTTTTTATCAGTCAAAAGATATTGTTGTCCTGAGCTTAAATTTGAAAAGATATTTCCCCTGTGATTGTTTTTCTTAAAGTTATAGGGGTTTAAAGATTGCCATTTTGGCCAATTGGAAACAATTAACGCGCGATTTACTTCGCGCTATTAACGCGTCAGCAGAGATTTAATCCGTCTTAGAAAGCGTTCCAAATTGGTTGAAGGAAGCTTATTTGCCATAATTGATTTGTTTCTAGGAGCGAAAACTATCACTTTGTACTTTATATGGCGTGTGGGGGGATCATTTTCAAAAAATATTTCAATTTTTAAATAAAGTGTTTTCATTTTTTTTTAATTATATTTTATGTTTTCATGTTATTACTGCTCCATAGACCATAACAGGTAGCCGGAACGTTTAGGGCTTCGTTTTGATACGAGCAGTCTTGTTATTTAGGTTGCAGTCACATGCTTTTGATTGTAGACTGGTATATAAAGTATTGCAGAAAATTTTTGAATAGGTAATGTAGGTAACAAGACTGCACTGCAAAGCACTGAATATTCCGACTGCACCGAGGGCCAGTTGGAAAGTTTTTGGTTGAATAATTGAGAAAAAAAAATTCCTTCCATTGTTTCTTCACTTTATCCCCCGACACGCTATGTGAAATACTAAGGGTGTATTTAGCGTCTCGTAGTGTGATAATAGGATTACATTGCTAGCCTCAATTCAATTTGGAACGCATAAACGTGTTATAAGTAGGCAATATACCGCACTTAAATCATCCCAAATTGGCCAAATTAGCAACTTTAAAACGCCTGTAACTTGACGAAAAATCACAGTTGAAATATCGTTTTATATTTGAGCTTAGGGTAACAATATCTCTCAGATGGTATAAAAAAATTCCGTCAAAAACGCTTAGTCAACAAGTGGAAAATTGACTGAATAAAAAACCACACCATGCATAAATATTCTTCACTTTCTTCGATAGTCGGAACAATAATTCATTTGAGCGCAGATAATTATTTTGGTAAATTTGGACTACTTTTCTTACTATCTTATGACAAGAATTTGCAACCATCGAAGTTTTAGCGGTAATAACAGAAAATATTAGATTCAGTAAGAACAAAGTCATTCGATGCGTTTTTTTATAGATTGAAGCAAGCATTCGATAAAAACTGATTGTGCACTTCCCGATACACTTTTCGTTTTATGGGTGTTGTCAATAATTCGTCTTCCAGCAATAATTGGTCTTCCTGATAGTAATTAATGTGTTATGGCTAGCAATATAAAATCTAATTGGGAAATGGTCTCATGGATTTCCCCAAGGATCTGTTCTGAGTTCTTTTCCGTTTTGCATTTATATACAAGATATGCCTATTTTATCAAGCGTCTCTGAATTTTTTCGACTGAAGATAAACTTGTATTATTAAATGATGTCTGTGTTACTCATTTTCAGCAAAATCTACGGAATTTGAGCATTTATTTACAGCATAACAAATTTACCTTTGTTGTATCATAAATAGAGCAACTTCAATTTTAGTGTATATATGAGAGATCCGTTTTGACCCAAAAAACGTATGCAACTTGCTTACAAGCAAAAAATTGCTGATAATAATCTTTGATATTAGGATCAGGCTCAAACTGGGATCAAAGTTATGAAATTACTGCGGCGTTTTCTCAAAAATGCGTCAGTTATGGGGCCTAGGAAATTAGACGATAAGCAAATTAGACGGATGCTTCAAAAACCAAATTAGACTGCTATGAAACGGAAAGGGTCAACAAAATTTTTTCTATAGAGCCAAGTTTCACAAATACAAAAAGAACATAAATGACAATACCTATCAAAACAATTAATATAAATGAACATAAAATGTCAAATCCGAATATTAGAGGAGTTTTGAATTGAATAAATTATGCATAATTGACATGTAAAATTTTTGGCCACCGAAATTTAATTCTTGCTCGCAAATAATTTTATTTTTCTCACGCAAATTGTCTGCAAACAAATTTAATTTCTCTCACTTTCGTCTATTTTCTCACAATTTCAGTTTTGCGAAAACGTCTAATTTCCTTTTAAGTGACTCCGTCTAATTTGCTTATCGTCTAATTTCCCAACCCCCCGTCAATTATATCTAAAAATAAAAACTATCAATAATTTATATCAAATTAAGGATCTACTTAATGATTGCCTCGCCCACCCCCCCCCCCCCCCCTCATTCAAGAAAGGGGGGAAATTGGTAATTAAATTAAGTTGAGGAATTTTCAGCCATTCAGATTGCAGCAAAACTCGAATTTTAAATACAATGCTATAGTGCTAATTTACTGCAATTATTTAAAGGGGTGACAATTTTTTAGTAGATACCAAAGAAAGGGCGATTGTTAAGTAGATCCCAAACTTAATGCGATTTGGTCTTCTGTTTTGTTAATTTTTCTGGCTTCAATAATCTGTGGCATCAACTTGATGTCAACTGTGACAATGGCAATAAATTCACTGGAAAGGTTTTTTTATTTAAAATATAAACTGGTAGGTAAGCGTAATATATATTTTGATAAACTTACGTTACCTTTTTATTTATTTTAAGTAACTGTCGGGTAGACTCGTTTTAGTCATTTAGTATGCTTTCACTCTATTCTCTTCAATTGTAAATATGTTGATGGAAAAATTTGTTTTCAGTAACTTCCTTAATTTTTGCTTATCGTCTCAAATTGAATTACTTGGAAAATATATCCTTTGTTTTTTCAAGTTGTCCAATTGTTGTAAATTTTGGCTCCAAAAATTTCAAACCCGTTCGATCTTTTTACATAACCAAGTAAAACCACTTATTTAAAAGGCAGTTTTTTTTTTAAATTGTGTTTTGTCTGAAACAAACGAGGAGGAAGCTATCTTTATGCTCACCGATTGTAATTTTTCATCCAATACGTCGCGCAGTTATTTTTAAATTGACTTATCTGTTTTTCTGACAAAAATTTTCAATTATTTGAAAGCATTAGCAAGATTAAGCTGTCAGGATAATTCACAGAACAAACTTTCCTTTATGTATTTCAGAGAAGATAGTTCATTATTTTCTCTGTCTTTTGAAATCATTAGCAAGATTAAACTGTCAGCATAATTTCCAGAAAAAAAATATTTTTATATTTCAGAGAAGATAGCCTTTTATTTTCTCTCTATTTTCTCTGTTATCTTTCTAATATACCTTAAAAGTGCTGATAAGAAGTAAATAAATCCGTTCAGACGTTTTTTTCAAAGAAACGAAAGTAATTATCAGAATAATTCATCTTATAAAATGAAATTTTGTCCGTTGCTCCTCGAGTCTGTCTGTTTGTTTATTTAGATTAAAGCGTCTGTATATCCGTTCCTACATGCTTTTAATCAAAAAAGGGATTTTCAACGATATTTTTAATCAGCGAGAAATGTTATTCATTCTCCAAGTATCATTCTGCCCTCTAAGAGAGCTTTAAATATTCTTATTTGGAGGAAATTCAAACTGCTTGATGTGAACTGTTGAGGCAAATTGCTCATTGGAAAATGAGGCCAGGGGGGGTTGTGGCTTCTCTTAACTGAATCTACTGCTTTGTAGACTTATATGGGATCTTGGACTACTGTAAATTAAAGGCACGGTATGAAAGCAAGTTAAGACTTCGGAAGTATATCTATATTAATATATGCATTGTAACCAGTTTTTCAAACGTAAAAAACTCTGGATTTAAAACCAAGCTTTTGAGGACCATATTTTTACTATCTTTTGAAGTTAAATTTAACATGGAGGTCAAAAGCGCATCTAGTATTTTTTCGATTTTGCAAAAAAACTTTTCGACCTTTTTTTGTAGACTGGCAAAAATGATTTAGCAAAAGAATCTGCGCCTCTGGAAAATATTTGAAAAATAGGCCAAAAGTTGTCCTCTTGAATTTTTATGTTGGGCGCCTTCGAAAAATTTTGGTTCGGTCGGCTGAAAATGGATGTAAAATATTACCAAAGCGGGGACCCTTTGGTTGGTCAGGGGGTAAGAAGTGGAGGTGGGGATTCTTGAGGTTAGAAGTGTCTAACCCAACCCCCAATTCTCTCCCCTAACTCCATATCTGATTTAAAAATCGGTTTAATTGCTGAAAGATAATTTTGTCTTCGAAATTTTCAGTGTTTCCAACATTTGAAACACTGGTTAAGTGCTTCTTTTTCTTTCTAAACTAGCCAGCTTGCGAGCATTAGTTTACTTGTACAAACCTTCTTTTTTCCCCTAGCCTAATTCGCAAATGAAAGCGTTCATTAAAAGTGCTCACTTATTTGGTGGCACTTTTGCTATAATCACGATCTGTAGCATTGGAAATTTCATAGCGTCTGTTCTCTGCTCTATTTGTGGCTTGTGTTTATTACGCGTCTGTGGCTTAGTGCTTTGTTCGAGATACTTTTAATCTCTAGGTCGTAGATCGAATCCCAGACGTAGCCGAAGTTTTACTAATTCGTGGCTTATTTCTACTTTTTCTCACTGTACTTATAGAGTTTCTTTTTGTCGTGTTTTCTCTAGTGTTTGCAAAGCGCAGCTTCGCCTCTGTGTGAAAAATTGTTGTTTTATTCTGATACTTTTTGATATATCAATATAGAAGACAATCTAGGGTGGATAGGGCGGTTTTTCGGAAAAAATTTTGAAATTTCTGTCGACTTTTTTTAGGTCGACCAATTTGATTTTTCGAGCTCTCCGAAAAAACGTTTAGGACCGGTTTATGTGAAAAATTTTTGTACCGCAGGCGAATTTTTAAATGAATAGGTTAAAAATGACGTTTTGGGCACTTTTAAAAAATTGACCAAAAAGTTCCGATTTTTTTTTCAGCGCGCGCTCCTCACTCAAATTTAGTTATATTGGCGCCGAAGGTGACCATGGAAAAATTTTGAGGTTAGCCAGTCTGTACAATTATACCAAAGGGGGAAATTTGGCAACCAGAATTGAGGGGGGGATTGGCGTTTGCCCCCTTCTCGGCACGCTACTGAAGACAATGAATTTGTTCATAGTCTAAAAATGATGCCTCAGCTGGCTTTGATTGTTAATGGTAGAAAATTGAAATATGGTTAAGTTTTTAACAGAATCATTTGAATTTATAATTGGCTGAATTGTTTTGGAACGAATTATCTTCGCGCTCCTAAATGCAGAACCGGTCAAAGTATCCTACTTCGATATGTGCACTGATTTAATGTTCAATTGATCATTTTGTCTTTGTAGGGCCAAGTGAGGAAAGCGACCAAGAAGGCGTTCCGGATGATGCCCACGAGGATTCTTCGCGACGGGGATCCTGTAAGTACTTCAGAAGTAAACTGATTCTGACGCATAAATAACGCAAACAATTCCAATCATTTCGACCTTAAACGGAAAAAACTGTATAAGAATTATGACCAGTAACGCTCTTTATTTTACTTGAATTAGCAAAGGCTGCAATGTATAGAAAATGTATGGTTATGATCGTGTTTTCGAGTTATGGACAAACACTCTCCTCGAAAAAACAGATGTGCTGGTCAGGTGTCTGTCTGATTGTAGTGTTTTGTTTAGGAACTGGACAGTTCATTTGGCAGATGTGCCATCTGTCTTGAGGCTTACAAACTGTGGGACATGGTCAGAGAATTGCCCTGCAGGTGAGAAACACATCACTACTGAAACACACTTCAGTAGTTTGCATACACAGAAAGTTCGCCATAGCCCATAGCATGTAGTTAATTTGAATTAACTTAAATTTACTTATATTGATGTGTAGCTTAAGATCTTTAAGTCTTCGATGTTGACTGAGTGGAATAAGTTTTCGTATTTAAAACAAGGGTGAATCTGGGGTTTTGACGAGTTGAATAAATTTGATTTCAAAAAATAAACTTCTATCTTTGTTAGTCAACCAATTCTTTTTTCGAAGCTCTGTAGAAGCAATAAAAAACCCGAATTTTGAATTAACAAACCTCAAAGTTTGATTGTTTCAATCAGAGACACAAAAGCGGTTCTCTGAACAAAATTGAGCAATTCTTATGTAAGAAAGATCTTTAAGGGTCTTACTATTCGAAAACCAACCACTTCACTTTTTAAACATCTCCAGATGGCCTTTTATTTCCTCAGAAAATTACTTATTGAGTTTTTGAGTCAAATCAAAGAAAAAAATTTTATGCGCAAAATAAAGATTCTGTTATTTGTTTTCAAAAGCACTTATTAGTGTTCTGAAAATTGTCAAGTACGATTTTGGGTTCTTAGTATGGCTTCGATTGTTATTCAGCAAAATGACGAAGTTGTTTTCTAATTTTTTGATGAGTCTTTGGCTCGAAAGGTTTTCAACCAAAATGAGTGATACAGTTGTCCGTTTTGTGTAGTCATATTTACCACAAATCTTGCGTGGATGCCTGGTTGAGCCGGAAGCCAGCTTGTCCCCACTGCAAGTCCAATGTCCTCAAGGCACTGGGCTTCGACGCCGACTACGACTGGACTTGTCTGGACGCGAACAGTGAACCGGACGCCATCAGTCTCCTGGACATTGTTCCCCAAGTGGTCTCGGTCCAGATATTCGCACCCAACACTGCGGCTCCCAGCCGATTCATCACTGGTGAGTCGCCTTGCTCGATGACTAAATGTTTTTATAGTTAAACGCCAAGTTGTTGTTGCCTGTTTCTTCGGTCTACAAATTACAAATTATTTGACCTGTAACCGCTGTGACCATTTTGATGTCATAATGCGAATGTTAATGCATTCATAGAGTTAAAATAGGAGGGCTTTTAAGAATCTGTTTAACCGTATAAACACTTTTGTGGGAGATTAAATTGCTCAACGACGCTGATATTGCCAACAGTATGGCATTAATTATAGATAAGATTGTACCTCAACGGGTTACGCATTTTCTGTGATTCAACTAAGTAATTCAACATTGATCAACGTTGTTTTCTTATATTCTGTGATAAGTTTTTTAAATGTAATCTAAGACTTGAATATTTCCCCATTATTTAGGTCGTGTCGTGTCGAGTCGTGAAGGTAGTGAAGACCTTTATATAGGTCTTGGTGATCTTTTTGTTTTGGAAATGGCGCGAAAAAACTAACGATTTCCAGTATCGAAAGTGGAATTTAATTTTTGCCAATTATAAATTGTTCTAGAATTCGAAGAGCTTAAAGTTCATCCATTTTTTTTGTTTGAAACTCGAAAGTTGAGATTTTTTCAACTAAATTTTTTTTTCTGTTTACTTGCGTTCATTGCTCCTTTCCAACTATCTGTTGGCTATGTTTGTGGATTACTCATATTTGACAGTTATAAAAGCTTCTTGATGTTCAAAGATTTTTAAGCGTTTAAGGTCATATTTTTGAGACAAAAATTTCAAAAAATAATCGTTTTTTTTGTTTACTTGAGCTCAATCACAGTTTTCCAATCGTTTGTTGGCTATATTTTCTAATTAATCAATTTTCTTTTCCACCAATCCATACTAGCTTAAGTTTTCATATGATTTTCTTTTTCTAAAAAAAGTAGAAATTTTGAAGCAATTTAAAATTTGCAAATTTACTCGCAAGAACGCTAAATGTTGTTTGTAAACCCAGTAGCTAAGTGGCATAGAAGCGCTGAATTGAAAATTTTAAAATGGACTAAACGATTGAAGTGTATTTCTATTAGCATTGATTGTCGTTTAGATCTAACTTCTATCCCGCACAATCCTCCCCCTTACAACGACAACAGCCCGACCGCCACCGCATCAGCACCCTCTAGTCCCCTCCACTCGGGGGAGAGAAGAGGAGACGGCGGTGGCAGCAAACACAGGCTGAACAACAACTCACAGCAAGGACCATCAAACACCCCTCGAGGAGGTAAAATATTCACATTTAATTACAAATACTGTCTGTTGCTGCTCAAAAAGCACAATATTCCACCACAATTGTAAAATTAACTTTAAAAGAAAAAATGTTTTATATATTTTTTCAATTTAGGGTCGTTTTTTCTGGAGAGGGGTTGTGGTGGTAAATAAAGAAATACTCGAGATCTTAAGTGCGTTTGGCCTAAGCGACAACATTTGTGTTCGAAAATTGTCCAGTTAATAATTACCTTAAAGAACTAATTCACGCTCACAACACCGAGTAATTCAATTGGTTGATTGAAACAGTTTTGATGAGATTATGACTTAATTTCAGGAATCGGCGGCGATTCGCAGCAGAATAACCAAATGACAACTACAGTTGCAACAGTCGAGATGCCATCTAGTGCACACTCCCCCCTTGGTACCGCCGTCATCCCAAAAGGGGGATCCAAGTCCAGAAAACAGAAATCTGACGCCCAAAATACAGGTTAAATTTTGACCTATTTGCTGGAAATATTTTTTTCACTAGCTTCAAAAAGTTGTTTTCGAGAGTTCATTCAAATTAAGTGCTGAACACTTGTTTGGTTGTTTTTGGTGGTCTAACCAGAGAAATGTGATAGCTGTTATCTCTTTCACCTTGACCATTTAGCCCAAATTCAGCGTGATTAGTGATTAGCGTGAAAAAAAAGTGATTAGGGGGCAATGATCAAGCAGATTTTTAGGTAATATTTTAGGCGCCTTGATTTTTTTTATTTAAAAAAATTAATAATAAATTGGGCGCATTGGTTTTGTTCTTTCGCTGATAAACAAAAATGATAGGCGTTGATAAAAGAAATATTTTAGGTACAGGGTCTGGCGCGGGCGAGCCATCGGTTCCAGTTAATGTTACTTTGGAAGTGGATACCCATAACAACATGGGAAGTACTGGAGGAGCTTCGACATCCCCGGGAGGAGGCGCAAAGGTCGGATCCAGCGGACCTTCATCCAGCACTAGTGCGAATTCAACATCATCGAACTCCTCGACCGGCCGATCGCTCAAATGGCAGATAAAAAAAGGAGTTTTGGCCGCTATCGGAGGAGACTCAAGAGCATAAAACATGGCATTATCGCTACCTTTAACCTGCAAAGAAAGAATAAACGAAACTAGTTGTTGACTATTGCTAACTAAAAGAACATGCATTAAAAAAGTCTTTTGAAGATAGAGTTTTGCTGAAAAGAAGAAACAATTTTCGCCACTATTTATTCATAATTCACGTCGTTTAGTGCAGTTATGAAACATTCGTATTTGTGAAGTTGTACTTCGTTCCGTAGCAGTGAAGTTTGATTCTCGTCGATTTTTAAAAGTAGTTTATTCAGCATATTTATAAATGTGGTAGTTTTGTATGAAATTTAGCACGAACAGCTCAGCATGTCGGATGCTATTTTCTGTCATTAGCGGTATATTTATCTACTTACTTTATCCATTCGTTTCAATAGATTATTTGTCCTTATCTTCTATCTTAATAAACATTATTTAAACAAAAACAAGATGCGACCTTTAACTTTTTTTATCAGGAAGAAAAAGAGCATTCTAAGATGGCATTTAATGACTTTTCAGGCAAATTGGGAAATGTTTTATCATCATTTTATCAAGTATATCTGCTAATGCAATGCAATGTGTAGGATGTAACTGACACATGCATTTGCCCCTACGCATTTTAAGGCATTCAAAAGAAACACCAACACAGACTGGATCGACTATTATATCAGAAAAGAAATGTTGGATCGATAATACGGAATTGCCTCCCCCCCCCCTCACTAAATGACATATCAATTTTCTTTCGCCGTAACCTGATCATGAGCTAAATTAAATTGAAAATTTCGTTTTGCTTAAAAGAGTTATTTCTTAAAAACGAGCACAACATACTCTACTTTCACTCAATGCATAGGTTTTGCAATAAATTTCAACATTCCTGATTGTATTCAAATTAAAAAACTGGTCCCTGTTTGACAATGTATGGGATTTGTTTTCCTTTTAATTCGTTTTCTGAGACGCTTCGAATTTTTTTTTTTCAGTTTTCATGATAAACTTCGTTTTTCTCGAAAAGTATTTGGCCAATTTCCACAAAAAATACCACCGACCAATGATAAGAACGGCTACAATCCTGTGTGCCTGCATATTCCGCTAGTCTTTTTCTACCTTACTCCATGTACTACAGCCATCGAAAGTTTCAGTGGAGTAATTTTTTGATTTTTTGACCGACTTGTTTGTTGATTACAACCCTTCCAAATCGGAGAGAAATAATTCAATCGAAGAAACATGTTACGGGGGATTTCCACTGCATGAACCGCCGCTCGCGGACTTAATTCCTCAGGATTAAATCCCCCAGGATGAAATCCCACCGGATATAATCCCCCCAGAACTAAATTCCCCATAGGACAAAATCCCCCTAGGACAAAAAAACCCATATTTTATTCAGTATGATGGAAATCAAATTATTCAGATTATATAATTTCTTGTTTCTATTGATTCCATTTTGAATTGACTTCCATTTAAACATGAATCGCCATTTTGATGACTTTTCAGCAACTTTAAGATTCCAACTTTCAGTTGACTTCCTTTAATAATGAGCTTTGATTGTATAAAATAATAAGCCACATGGCACAGTCAGTACAAATGAATGGAAAATAATGTTGCTTCATTCAGCGTGAGTTCGAATCCCAACTTTGACATTTTGTGCAATCTATGTAAAGGTCTGTTAAATTTACTGGCAGGGGTAACAAAATCCCGCGCTTCCACTAAGGTGGGGGTCCGGGATGGTGTGAAAGGAAAGTCCCCGATTCCTAGAAAACCATCCTGTTTATTGTGTCAAAATTTCAGACCCCTAGGACCACGGAATGTTGAATTTGGGAGGTCCGAAATTTTGAACATAATCTTGAACTTATTTTAAGGTTAATTTATGTTGACTGATAAACAAATTAACACCCGATGTAGTCCCAGCCAAACGATTAGTGCAACAGGTGTGATAACAGTTTGCGTGGTCGCACTTTAATTCCCCCATTAGCCATTAAACTTCTGCCTCTTGACGCAAAATTTTGTTCAGTTAGTAAAACACGTGCATTTTGTTAACTACCGACTCATTCAAAACAATTACAATGTAAAATAACGAAGTCAAATTTGTGTTAAGCAACAAAGGGGGCCAGAAAGCGCTTCACAATAACTACGTTTGCTATTAGAAAAGAGAGTTAGTCAATTTTTTTCACTGGGAGTGCGAGTTGCGGCGATCAAAGCAACGATGTAAGGCAGCAAGCACATGGACTTCAAAGGGCGAATTCCTCAAATCGTCGCCACATGAGCAAACACGCGGCCCGGACTACGCTTTAATGGAAACGTATACCATTAACGAACAGATCAAAGCGGCCTGCACCGACTCTTCGACACAAAAAGTGATCTCGAATGCCCTAGCAAAATCCACAGCAGAATGCTCCTCGAAGATGCCGGTGGTGCCTCACCTCAAACGAAGGATCAGAAGAACGGGATTCGATTTTGAACTGCCTGTGAAATACATGCAAACCATGAGTGGGGAGAATTTTCTTCTTGAAGATTCGACAGTTCCGGGAACCGGTAAACAATATTTGGTGTTCGCAACCAACAAAATATCGAAATCCTTAGACGCTTATAGAAACTGGTTTATCATTGGAACCTTTAAAAGCTGTCCTGATAACTTCTACCAAATATACACTGTCCATTGCTTCGTAGATGGAACAACTTTTCCATGTATCTATGCCCTATTCCCCGATAAACGACAAGAAATGTACATACAACACTTTCTGGTCGAACTTGAAAGCAGATATCGTCCCCCCCTCCCCAGTTCAATCATGATAGACTTTGAAATGGCTGGCATCAAATCTGTGGGTGACAACTTTCCAGACACAAAAATCAAAGGTTGTTTCTTTCACTTCTCGCAAGCCATTTACAGAAGAATACTCGAATATGGTTAAGCTGTACAGTATCGCGAGGACAAAGAATTCAACCTAGCTATACGTCTTTTAGCTGCTCTTGCGTTGGCCCCGCCCTCACATGTAGAAGCCTGGTATAAACAAATTTAGTAAATTGCCACATTCCTGACATCAAGAAATTTTTTGAGGACACTTAGCAATTATGTAGACTCATAATTGGCGTGCATCACTTGAGAAATTTTGTAATCTCAAAGCTCAACTCATTCCGTTTTTCCCAGTAGCGGTATCGGTCATATTTTGCTTGTGAATGCGAAGTGCAACTTCGCCTCTGTGTTATTATTGTCCTGCACTTTTTTCTAGTTTTTGAGGCCACGGGTATCTAATGGTAAATAGTTTTCATTTGCAGATCATTTGGTATGTGCAATTTTTGACAGAAAGCACAGTTTGATTTTTTTCTGAGAAAACTTCTTGGACTGTTGTTTGTTTGTTTATTTGTTTTTTTTTTCAAAAGCCTGTACCTTGTTTGAAGTCTCAGGGAGTTTTCATTATATTAGAATGCTGTGTTTAACCTTTGTAAAGAAGACGCTAATTTAATTGTTTGCATAATTGCTGATTTTGTACAAATATTCCATTGATCCAATCCTTCAAATTGGGTTTTTTTTCAGAAAAATTGCCAAACATGAATAGATCTTGCAATTCAAAGCTCTGTGAATTTCAGCAATTTTTCTTGATTGACAGTTTCAGCTTTCGAAGAAAAAACCTGATAATTTTTCTTTGTGAAGAATATTGAAACTTTTTTAATCAATATTTCGTAATTTTTGTACATCCCAATTTTCAGTTGTTTTTCACCTTTGTGATCAAAAAGGGCATTGCAATCGGGCACTAGACTTTTTGTACCGTTCAGTGCATTATGGGTTCAAGTTTCTTCGCGTCTCCCGCTTTTTTCTCATTTTTCAAGAAGATGAAAATAGTTCATACTTTCCTGGTTTTTAAACACGGCAAAAGATAAATTTCCAACCGTTGTTTTCTTTGTTTTTTTTGCAATTTGAAAACAAAAACTGCACCAGATTCAGGAGTGTGGTTTTTTGCGGCTGAAATCTTTGTAAACAAAAACTGAATTTTTGTGTTTTATTGACTTTGTTTGAAATTTTAGCACTCATTTTTTGCTTCTTTTCAAAAAAAATTTTCATCTCAATAGTTGCTTATAGCAAATTGTCCTTTTGATTTTCATACCCAATTTTTCCCAGTAGAGTATGCAAGTTGTTTAGTTGCAAATTTTAACCAAAATTTTTGAGTGCTTTTGAATCTCGATTTTCTACCATTTTTTTCTTTGCGTTTCTATCTATTGGTTATAAAAGAGAAATGAATAGAGTTTGTGTAACCCGAATCCTACTCATTTATTAGGTAATTGATGTTTAGAACAATCTATTATATATTTAAATGCGGGCTTCACTATCTCGTCATGCTTAAGCTTTTTCAACGTATTATTTTTTGCATGTTTAAGCTATATCGTATATTGCAATGATTAAGAATTTTGAATAAGGGGTTGCGAATTTGGCCTCCAATTTGGAATGCCCGAATCATTTTAGTTAACGAGATAAGACGATTTTTGAGATTTTTTCAAAAATTTTCAGAAAACTTAAATTATGATTATTTTTTGAAAAATCTGAAATTCCCAACCCTGTAGTTGGGTACTGTCAGAGTACTATCAAGAATTGCGAGTCTTATCTCCAAATATAACTGCTCAAATCCTTGTAGTTTTCGAGATATGACGTTTTTTGTGATTTTTTCAAAAATTTTCAGAAAATTTCAATTATTATAATTTTTTTAAAAATCTGAAATTCCCAACCTGTAGTTGGGTACTGTCAGAGTACTATCAATAATTGCAAATCTTGCCTCCAAATATGACGGTTCAAATCCTTGTAGTTTTCGAGATATGACGTTTTATGTGATTTTTTCAAAAAAATTTTAGAAAATGTATATTAATTTTTTTTTCGCAAAATCTGAAATTACCAACCTTGTAGTTGGGTCCTGTCAGAGTACTCTCAAAAATTGCGAATCTTGCCTCCGAATATGACTGCTCAACTCTTTTTATAGTTTTCGAGATATGACGTTTTTTGTTATTTTTTCAAAATTCTCAGAAAGTTTAAATTAATTGTTTTTCGAAATTTGAAATTCCCAACACTATAGTTCGCTGTTGCCAGGGTACTCTAAAGAGTTGCAAATCTTGCCACATGCCACTGCTCAAATGCTTTTAGTTTCCGAGATGTGACGTTTTTTGATTTTTTCAAAATTTCTCAAAGAACTTATCTACAAAGAAATTCAAAAAATTTGAAACTTCTAATTTGATGAAGATACAACCTTATTGTCAGAGTACACGCAGGCGCCTCAAATCTTGCCTCTCAATGTGAATGCTCAAATCCGTTTACTTTCCGAGATAAGACGTTTTTTCAATTTTTTTTGAGAAACTTAGGTTTAAAAAAATTCACAAAATTTTGAACTCCTAACCCTATAGTAGGGTGCTCTCAGGGACTCTCAGTGGTTGCAAATCTGGCCTCCAAATTTCTCTAGAGGCCCATTAAGTTTTCGAGATGACGCTTTCAAAATGGAAATAAAAAAAATAAAAAAGTTCGAAATTACAAACCCTGTAATTGGGTGCTCTTAGAGTACATTAAAAGTTTGCAGATGTTGTTTCCAATATATGCGGTTTTTCATGAGTTAAACGCTAGTTGAAATAAAATTTGTCATAATTTTTTAGGCTTCGATTTTTTCAACAGAGTTCAACATTTTTTCACTTTTCGTTTGAGACATTTTTTTTTCGATTTAAGTCATTTGTTTCGTATGGCAAGTGTTGCAAATCTTTTAACTGGTTATGATTTGATTTTAAGGTTTTTGAGTTAAAATATTTTCGTCATAATTTGTTTGAGTTGCCTCATAATTTTTTCGTCCGCTTATTCGTCAAAGTAAGAATTTTTGGATTTTGGTCGTTAGGTTTTTTTAAGTTTAAGGAGTGATGAGTACGTTACATGTTTGTTTTTTTAATTTCAGATTTTAGAATGAGTGCAGATTATGACAGTACTGATACAAACAGCCTACTGGAAGAAAAGTTTTCGAAAATATCAGCATCACTTGACAAAGTTAAAAATCAGCTACCTGACATCATTGCGAAGACATCTGACAGTCAACTTAAAAACGGCCTTAGTTTGAACCAATTAAAAAACACAGCTCTGATTATGCATAATGTTAACCTGCTTTATCTGATTAGAGAGAAGCTCAGAGGAAATGCAATCAAAGATTCGCCTACAGTTGAGCGACTAATCGAGTCACGGGTGATAATGGAGAGGATGAAGCCCCTAGAGCTGAAATTGAAGTACCAAATGGAACGACTTCTGAAGGTGTCCAATGACGTCAAAGAGGATAACAATTCCTCAAACAGTCGAAACTCGGCTTTAAATTTCAGACCCAATTTGTCGAAATTGATGCAGAGAAAAAATGCCTCAAATAATGATGATGATGAGAACTCGGATGATGAAGATGAAGATGAGCTAGATTCTGAGATTGAAGGTGTCAATCAGGGTTGGCTGAGCAGAAAAATATGCTTCAAACTAATTTACCGTTTTTTCGTGAATGATTCGTCAAGGTCTCTTTAAGAAAAACTCGAAAGGTTTCTCTAAGGTCCATTCAGTTTTGAAATTCAAATATGGAGTTAACAATAAACATGGAGTTAACACAGTTGAATTTTCGGTGCTTGAAAGCTTCATTAAATTAATTTTTTAATAATTTTCATTCGCAACTTCGGATTGAAGAAAAGTAAAAAACGAATCTGTTTGAAAATGTGTGAACTTATGACTTCTTTTTTTTGGCTTTTTCACCAACCCTGTAAATAAAATAAAGGCGACGATGGAGATGACAGCGAAGAGAGGGAGAGTCGGAAAATATCTCAGAAGAAAGGAATCGACAGGGCGAAGGAGCAACTGAGACAGAAGAAGGCGGAGAAGTCAACCGGGGGCAAATATGTACCCCCTAAAGTGGTGCCTATGCCTTACACTCAAGGTCAGTTTTAATCACAATTATGGATTAGAAATTGTTTAAAAACTTGGCCTGAAGCTCTTGATATGAAATATTTAAAGCAGATTAAAACATTTGTTCCGAGGTTTTATGATGGTAATGTCGTTGTTTCACATAGGAATTGGACACTAAATCCTCAATTACAAGAAATGTCGCCGCCATAGTTTTTAAACTAAGAGAGCTATTAGCTAAATAATACTTTTTATGCTTCGATAATAAAGCGTATCTTACTTTGCCTTAAGTTTCGAGGGCCCTAGGGCATAAAATCGTGTACGAGCACTAATTGCTTCATACAGGTGTTAATTGGGGGCTATTCTCATGCGCGAATGAGCGAAAAAACTCGTGAGCGGAAGATGGAACACAAATTTAGCGGAAAGTCAATTTTTAAAAAGAAGCGATTGCCATTCAATTTCAATGAATTAAATGAAGCAATATTTTGCTTCTTTCATAACTTAACTCTTGAAATATAAAATTTGTTCCAATTCGTCGGCGTCAGTGACAATTTGGAATTTTTGCATTTTTCTGCCGTTTTTATATTCGGCCAATATCAATACTCATTCCCTAAAAATGTTTACTTTCTTTCCAAATTTTAGATTACTGAAATATGTTGGCTGATTTTTATTTTCGCGCATTCGGTCCTTCGCGTATGAGGGATTCCACCGTGTTAATTGTCTGTGTGGAGAAAAACGAAAGGGGAATTCCTCATTCCAGAAGGAGAAATAAATGCCTGAAATTTGTGTTAGCAGAAGATTTCGAAATCTGGAAAAAAATTGAGCTGGAAAATTTGTCAGTTTTGACTGTTGAAAGAAAGTTGATTGGTTGAAGAGTTTTGCGCATTCGATGCTTCTGTCATAAGAAAAGCCCCTAATAAAAAGAGTCCGGTTTCGGTACTTGTTTAGAAGTATGGTCCCGTTTAAAACCTCGTTTAGAAGTATGGTTCCGTAAACCTACCAATGGTCCCAAATAGAAGTCCGACAAAAACTTTTTTTAAGGTAGTCTCCAAGTTTTGCCTCTGAATTTGTATTTTTGATAATTCTTTTTTAAAGAAAACATAAGTGGCAAATCTAACGAAGAAATGTTTATAAATTTTCCTCTTGTTTTCATCCACTGAAGTGTTTTAAGTATATTTCAAGTTGTGTGGCGGGACCACACTTCTAAACGAGCACCCCGGATTCTGTATAAGATTCTAAACGAGCACCCCGGATTCTGTATAAGATTCTAAACGAGCACCCCGGATTCTGTTTAAGATTTCAATGGTATCTTAAATAGTAATAAAAGGGGGTTAGGAAATTAGACGACAAGCAAATTAGACGTGACCAACAAAAACGAATTTAGACGTTAAATTATTTTCGCAAAACTAGCATTTTAGACGGAAAGCACAGGGCTAACAAAACTTATTACTTTAAACAAGTTTTCATAATTACAAAAATAATATATGATCCCATTGCATATCAAAATATTTATCTCAATTGATTTATAAATTGTCAATTTCAAGATTATAAAACATTTTTGAAATGCATAAATTATACAATTGCGGCATGTGAAAAGTTGATTTGCATTTAAGAAAGCTGAACGAAAGTTAATTGTAGACGGTAAACAAATTTCAGACACGAACAATACAATTACGTCTAATTTCCCATATTTGTATTTTTGCATCGACGTCTAAATTAGTTTTTGTTGGTCACGTCTAATTTGCTTTTCGTCTAATTTCCTAGGCCCCATAACAAAAAGCTCATTTCAGTTTTTCTCTTAGATTCCGAGGGTGGCCGAGGAAGTAAGAAGGAGGAGCAGCGGGAGTTTATGAAGAGGTACAACTCGAGTGTGATGCGCGAATTGAGGGAGGAGTTCTCGGAGACCCCTCAGGAGTACAGTGAGGTACCTGGGGGTGCAGCCACAGCCGCCAAGTACAGGAAGGTCGAACAGGTATAAGTTCTACTAATTATCAATTCATCTTACATTTCTTGCATCGTCTTCGATTATTAGATTGCTCTTATTTAAAAAAATAGATAAAATATTGTTTTTTGTTCTAACATCCTCATCGGGTTATGTGAGCAAACTACTTGTGTTCTGATTTTTATCTTTGATAAATTATTAGATTATTAGCATGCTATTAATAAAAAAATTGATTATATATTGTTTTTATGCTAACATCTTCAGAGTGTTATGTGAGCAAACTACTTATGTTCTGGTTTTTATCTTTTATAAATTATTAGATTATTAGCATGCTATTAATATAAAAAATTGATTACATATTGTTTTTATGCTAACATCTTCAGAGTGTTATGTGAGCAAACTACTTATGTTCTGGTTTTTATCTTTTATAAATTATTAGATTATTAGCATGCTATTAATATAAAAAATTGATTACATATTGTTTTTATGCTAACATCTTCAGAGTGTTATGTGAGCAAACTACTTGTGTTTTGTGTTTTATCCTTTATAATTTATAATATAAATCTTTTAAAAAATGGTGAAAAAATAATATTTTTGAAGCAGTAATTTGTTCTTCAGTTGATGAAAGTGCGACAACAGCACGAGGAGGAATACATGACTAGACTTCCTGCCCTGAAGAGTATGAAGAAGATGACTCAGATCAGAGGTCTCTCAGAGATAGATCGCATGGTTGGATCTCTCAGTTCCCTCAATGGAAAAGGGAAGAAAAGGAAAGGAGCGAAGAAGTCAATGGGAGGCGGAAAGAGGTTCAGAAAGCCACAGAAGTTCAAGTCGAAAAAACGATAGTTTTTTTATTAACTCAGATTCAACTTTGTTTTGTTGGTTTTTGAACTCGAGCAGTTTGATGCAATGTCTTTTTATTAAAACAGTGCCAAAAATTGACGACTGTTGCTCATTTTAGCATACACCATCCAGACCAGTAACAATATAGGCCCACCCACCTTATTAGCGTTTTTTCCTTTTAAAATATCATTTGCCAGAGTTATAACAGAAAAGAGCCAAAAGGACCCGAAAGTAAGCGTCAAAGCAGCACAAGCGAATTTTTAAAATGATGTTGATGAGTAATCATGTCAGTTGGGTGATGTTGTCAGCCGTTTTAGTTGTAGGTTGTTTAAGAGTTTATTAACGTAGTTCAGTTATATAAGTTGTGATGATTTTTTTAGATAAGTCTTGAAAATTGTTCAGGCTCAAATAAACTTTTTCGCGGTTTTGACTTTCTTCAATTTCTTTTAAGTTCAGTTCGTTTACTTTGTTAAAAGGAAGGCAAACTCCACTGTCGAACAGCGAAAGTATAAAGGTCACGAAAAACGTGATGGACTTCTAATTTCGAAAATGGATTTAATTTTCAGATTTTCCAGTGGATTAATAAGTTTACATATAGATTGTTTTTTTTTTCAATTGGAATTAATTTTTATCAAAAATGTGTCAATCATAACTTGTTCTTGAAATTCAGAGAGCTGTTATATTTTTTCACTTTGAAAACGTCAAAAAAACATGTCAGTTTTTCTTTTCTGTTTCCTCCCGTTCATTGAATTCTTGCCAACTGTTTGAGGGCTATGTTGACATCCATTTAAGTATCTGCAGATGCACGTAATTAGTTGTGAAAATTGTTTTTTTTCTCATGTTTTGCTAAAAAGCCGTAGCAAAAACTTTTTTTCTAATATTGAATACAAGACGGCAACGATTTAACGATTTTTATCAATGAAAATAAATGCTTAATAGGAGTAATTAAAGTTTGAATTAGATAATTACAAATTTATTGTACCAACCACTGAAAATGGGGATGAACTTAGTCTTTGAGTGTATTAGTTTTTTCCACCTAAAATCAGTTACCACAAATTATCATGATTGGTCGAATGCTGAATGCTATGTCATACTAAAATTTTTTCTCTGTTGAATTGAACGAGATTGAATTTTCTTTATAATAGTTTCTCTGAACGGGATTTTCAGTTTGAACGGAGTTTTCAGTCCAATTTCGAGCGATCAAAGCAAACGAGTAAACTCATATAAAAATAATTTGAGTGATAAAAACCCAGTTTTAATCCACAAACTAGTTTTGGAAGCTTTAATCAGCGCTTTGCACTTAAAAACTGCAAAAGAAAAACCAAAATAATACTGATTTTTTCTTTGTTTTTGGTTTGTTTTTCATTTTTCAAAGTCAATTATTGACGATTTTGTTCTATGAACTTACGCTCTACACCTTCGCAACAAACCACACATCTAAAAATACTTAAAATTCAAAAAAAAATTATGTAGTTTTTTTTCACAAATGTGATGTGAACATTATGCTATTTGCACATCAACCGGCTATCCTTGTTATTTTCAACCAAGTAAAAAACTTCGTAAATATAGAGCCTAAGCAAGCGACTTTTAAAACCCTGAATAGAATTACTCAGAAAATCAGATTGATTGCGAATAACAAAGATTCAATACATTTATTTTGATTTTAAAAATGTTCCTAGGAATATCACTCAAAAATAACGATTAGTTTTGGATGATTCATATTAAACGAGATTGCGTGTTGGGTCGAGATGGTCGGAACATATCATGATTCGGTCGAGCAAAGCCGAACACATTGTTTTTCAGCCGAGACAGTCGAAACAAATTATCCTTGGGTCGAGCACTTCCAGGGAATTTTTTTTGTTTTTTTTTCAGCCGAAAAAGCGAAACACACACCGAATTTCAGTCGAGAAGGCCGCAACTTAAAGTAAGCATTTTGACCAAGATCGTAATCGGCAGCCCAGTGTGCACCTTGCATCGCCTTTTTGGAGAGTTTTACTCATGTTGAATCAAAGAATCTTTATATCTACACGCGAAAACAGAGAGTAATGTTCCCACTGCTTTAAAACATGTGCAGTGCGTTTGAAAGATTTTTTTTTCCACAATTTATTCAGAAATGCTTGTTAGTCAAAATTAGGATTGGTTTGTTGATAAAAATTCAACTAGACTGCTCGTATGTTGGTGAAGCCCTGAATCTTCGGACTGCCTTCGACATCTTTGAAACATTTTTTTGAAAACTTGAAAAAAAAGTTGACCGAATTTTTGAACGAAAATAGAAAAATGACCCAACGCACTTTGCCAAGTACGAAATTATTTCCTTAGCATCTAAACATCTATTAATAAAACTAATTTTTTTGTCTCACTTAGAACACTTCAACTTAAATTTTGACTTCATTGACTTTGGAACGCTTCATGAGAGCAGTAAAATGCATTATATGCAGCAAAAATTTTGCTCTTTAAGTGTCCCAACTTAGCTAAATTGTTATTTTTCACACCTCTATAACGTTTCAAAAAACAAACAACGGTAAATATTACTTTTAATTTAAGCTCAGGTCACGACTGGTTTTAAAATGGTGTAAAAAATTCGTTCAAAGTTGCTTATTAAAAAGTCAAAATTGGTCACGAAAACACCCATTCCAATAATAAGTAATCCACTTTTTATCCGAAAACACAATAATAAATTTGCTGAAAAAATCAACATTAAGTTAGTATGAACTTTTTTCAACAAATAGAAACAAAAAACAAAAACAAACTATTTTTTTCACTCGTTTTTTAGGCACATTTTGATTTTTGCTCGTTGATTACTAAAATTTTGTCATTGTTGTTCTTTTTTTTCTAAAGTGATTGAACTATTTGTTTTTAGCTAGTTTTCTGTATCATCCTTTCTCCTTTCAAATCTAGGTTATTCTTTTCTCAGTAAAAAATTAAGAATTTTGCGTTGCTTAAAATATCGAACCTCTTGAATAGAAAAAGAAAGCAAATATCAAGCATTTGGAAAATACGTGGAATCTAGAATGCAACAAGATAAAAAGTTTGAGGAGATCGTAAATTTAATGAATAAAAAAAGATAACAAATATCAAGCAATTGGAAAATACGAGACATCTAGAATACAACAAGATGAAAAGTTTCATGAGATCATAAATCTGTTGAAAAAGATATCAAACATCAAGCAATTGAAAATAGGAGGAGTCTAGAAGTAACGCAACAAGATGAGAAATTTGTGGAGATTGCCAAAATTTTCAAAACTGTATCCGAGAATTTGATTTTTTTCTGCACAATATTTAACTGAATGTTAAACACAAAGAAGCTTTTTGTTTGGAGTTGCATTACATACAAAATTCATACGTACATTGATCATAAAAACTCACTTTATGCAAAAAAAGGCAATCAAAACTTGTGTGTTCTCGGATGGATGGGTTGGTCTCGAAATCATGAGCTATCTTGATCAGTTTATTTTTAACTTAGTCGTAATCGTACCTTTGTATAAGTACCCAGTATAACCAGTATAAGTTTAAACCAATGATTTTCAAGACTTGCACAAGCAGAATCAAATAATCAGGATAACTAGGTGCAGAAATCATAATTATTATTTCTGATTGCAAAAGAAAATTGTGCAGTGTTTAGAAATCTTTTTTTTTTCACAGCTTATTCGGATTTATTTTTTTGCTCGGTTTTGTACGCTCATTTTTGCTTGTTGATTATATTCATTGTTTTTCTGGAGTTCTTCGAGCTAGTTTTTTTTGATTAGTTTTAGCTAGCTTTCAGTATCGTTTTTCTCCTTGAACAAGTTTTTTTGCTTTTTTAAAAAATTTCCCCAAACACGCTATGCCAATTACAAAGGGACGTTCTTAGCGTCTAATAGCCTAAAAATAACACAAAATATTTTGTCTAATTTGATTTTGTAACAATTAAACATTTAACATTAATTATTTACCTCAATTAAATTTGGAACAATTTTTGAGTGGATGATAAAGCCGGTTACGCGATAATAGTACCAAATGTCTCGCGCGTTTATTGTCACAAACTAGCCAAATTGGCAATTTTCAAACCGCGATAACGTTCAAAATATTACCGGTAATTATATTTTTAATTTTGAGCTGGATTACTGAATCTCAGATAATGTAATAAATTCTGTTTAAAAATGGCCAGTTAAAAAATAAATTGATCTCAATTGAAATTTAAGGAGTAAGAAAAAAAACACATTCCGAGCGCAAATAATTCGTAATTTTTTTCAAAAGTCTGAACAAAAACATAATTTCCAAAAGTCAACAATTATTTTTTCTGAACATAACATTTTTTAAGCTTTCAACAACTAATAGAGACAAAAACAAAATGATTTAATCTTTAGTTTTGTGAGCTTAGTTTTGGTTTATGCTCGCTGTCGACTAGAGATTTCTCGTTGTTGTTCCTTGTTTGTCTTGAGTGTTTTGAGCTAAAATTTAGTTCATAGTTTTTATATTTACTCTGTTTCATTCTTGTCACTGACATATTTAAGGCCATACTTGTGCGTGCCATACATCAATTGACTAAGGATGGCTTGAATTTTTTTAAGATAATATTTTGGTTCTCAGTGTGATTTATTCGAGACGTTTTTGATAATGGAAACATCTATAACAGTTTTCGCCGGAAAATTTCGATACCATTTTCACAATTTCTATGATTTCATTGTTAAAAAAGCACAAATTACCACAAGTCTGAAAAACACAAAAAAATGGAGCTACTTGTCATTTGTTATAATTTAGTGTACTTAGATATGATGCAAAGATTAAAAAATGGAGTTTGAATTTTATAGATTAAAGAAAAACAGCAGCCGCTTTCTTCTCATTATAGACACTAATGTATTTTTCTGAATAGTTATCTCAACTTCATTAGAAAAAATATGATAACACAGTTTTCTGAAAAATTAAAACAGTTCGAAACAGTTTTCAAAAAGCTGGGACAAACATCGTTTAAAATAAATTTGGAAGGCAAGTTACGACATGGAGGGTTTCAATAGCGTACGTGATTAAAAATAGTTCAAACTGGTTGTTGAAGTCAACAGTGCAAAATTAGTTTCAACTTCTTGTTAT